TTGAGCTGGAGCCGGCTCTGTTTCAGGCGGCGATCCTCGAACCGCTGCTGTTACCTTTAGAGCTGGTGATCTGCACCGTAGCCGAGGTCTGGAAAACATGGGCCCAGGGATGCCTTGAAAGATGAAGGGAGCTCCAAAACCAGGTCGTTTTTTTCTACTCAAACAGACCATTCGAGGTGAAGGGTAACTGGAATTATGACCTATAGTATCAGCGAGTGGTTCGCGGTTTGAATCGCAGAATCAATTTGTATGTTCCATCCAACTTGAATGGGATTATACTCCCAACTGAATGTTTTGTTTTTCAGACTTTTCAAGTGTGTTTGCCGAAAAAGAACCTCGGCCAGGAGGGGGGACAGGGACATAGTCCCACCGAGGTGACCGTCCTCATCTACCGTGCAAACCACTCGAAGTCTTTTCGAAGCCTAAGTTTTGGATGGTTGCGACTGAAAATCTCATCAATATCCGCTAACAGCATGTTTTAAAAAGGCCTTTTCTGAAAGCACGCTAGCCCCAAAATCATCCAAAATCCACGAGTTTCGCATCATTCTCCCAATGAAAATCATCAAACTTGCCATGTCTAGAGGCCAGGCGGCTTCGATAGATCAAGGTCAGGATGGGAATAATCAATCCAGTAGTAGAGATATATATATAATATATAATATAATATAATATAATATAATACAATATAATATAGTATAATATATATATAGTATAATATATATATATATATATACAAATATTGTATATATACACATATATATTGTATATATATACATAATATTATATACTGTACGCCCATTTTTTTCAGGATTCCCATGACATGGGATGACCATAAATCATACATCATGTAACTTGGCCATTGCACATATGAACAAAACCGAGTTTTTCTGATGCTGTCAGGAGATTTTCGCGGAGTCTGGTGCTGAGCAGGTAAGGCTTCGCATTCGAGAAACTGTCAAGGCTGGGTGTTTTATGGGAGACTTTATGGGGACACGGATATTTCATGGGAGATCTGGGAAATGTTAAAGCATTGTTGACCAATGACCATCCCTGGCTCCACAGGCGATGCCGGGGCTGGAACAACAGCTATCAGTCTGCGTGGCATACCTGAGGGATCGTGTTGGACGCTTGGCGTCGGGGATGAATGGCTGGTTGGTGGTTTCATTACCCTCTGGTTATGTCAAAATAGCTATTGAAAATGGCCATAGAAATAGTGGATTTACCCATTAAAAATGGTGATTTTCCATAGCTACGTTAAATTACCAGAGGGTATCCACTTTGGATGAGAATCCACAAAGACCCCGATTTTTCCAAGGGAATTGAAGCCATTCCGTTCAGAAGATGGGCAAGAATGAGGATTCTAGCCCCAAAGAAATAGGATATCATCAACAATGGAGATACACTCCCTGAAAACCAAGATGGAACTCCTAAAAAGGTTGCTTACAAGAGGCACATGATCTTCCAACCTTTTCGTGTTCTATGGCAGTTTCCAGCGGTGAAGACTCCCTTTACCGACAATGCAGAGGACGTTCATCCCATTCCCCCATACAAAATGCCAAAATGCCAGTGGGACCCAGGGCATTGAGGGGACGAGCAACAACAAATATGGAATAGAAAAAACATATTCGCTGGTGAAGGGTAAGTGAATATGTGGCAATTGCTTGCCTTAAACGCAGTTTTTTTTGAATATCCCAGCCGAAGACGAGTGATTTTTTTTGAATATCTAAGTTGAAACTGTTCTATTTAACAACCTGAACCTCACAAGTTGTGGTTAGGAGGGGGACAATCATCCCCAAAATGATGTTGGTCGAAATCCGATTTCTTCTCTGTGAGAGATATTGATGTTTCAGGCAGGTTGGCTGGGTTTGCTAATAGGATACCCCACCAGTCCCACAGATGGGATCGGAGAACCCTAAACCCAATGAGCACCCTTTGGCTGGGCGGGAAAAAAAAACCTGGAGATTTTAGGGGAATTTCGACCTTGATAGGAACCTCCGACGGGGAATTTCATATCAACTATGGCGAAGCGGTGGACTTCCCATGAAACACGCATCCATCATCAAAGTCTGACACAGCAAACCACCAGAAAACAAAAAAAGGGGAACATCATGAAACTCCCAGAGATTGAGAGATTGAGAAATGATATATAGTATCATGATTTTTAATCTCAAGGAAAACTGTGATATCAGATATGCCATCAAGGCTTGTTTGAAACTAAGGCACCAAGCGAACCGTGATTCATGATCCTTTCCGAACCACTCTATCGAATGCGATTGGCGGTGAATCCCCCCATTTTCAGACATACCCAAATTCGATATGTAGTTCATTCATGTTCGTTATATACATAATTGCATTATATATATATGTTATGTATATACATATATTATGTATATATATATATATTATGTATATATATATATTATGTATATATATATATATATTATGTATATATATATATTATGTATATATATTATGTATATATATATATAATGTATATATATTATGTATATATATATATTATGTATATATATATTATGTATATATATATTATGTATATATATATATTATGTATATATATATAATATATATATATATATTATGTGTATATATATAATGTATATATATATATATTATACATAACATTATATATATAATATGACATATTATATCCCATTCTATCCTTATCCATATCCACAGAAATTCCTCTTTCATGGAATGAACAAAAGCCCGGCGATGAAAATCCCTAGGCGTCCCACGCGACTTGCCTTTGCCTAGTGCAAAGGTGCTGCACCTTGGCATCTGCGTGGACAATGGTAAGATAAAGAAGGTTGGGAAGATTTTTATATGGATAATATGAATATGAATTAAAATAGATAGTCACTAAATCATAGTTATTAGTTATTAAGTCATAATTACATCAATGGGATAAATCTGGATAAACGAATATAAATGATCGAACAATGGGTCAGACAACCCATAATAAATTCACTGGATGGTTTGTCAGAAAAGTATCAAGCATCTAGGAACCATGTTTATTTCATACAGAATGCCATGCTAGGTTTCTTTGTATGTTTTTGTTTTTCTTGAAACCATTCTAGGAAACAAACTATGGATGAGACGAGAAAAAAGGGATGCAAAACAACAACACCGGGGAGAACTTGGTCGTATTGGCTAGTGGTTTGTGAAGTATGGAGTCATGACCTGCTAATATAAATGGGAGAAATCAAGGAATGGGTGAGCCGCTAACATTTTAAGCAGCTAACTTTGTGGGCTCATCCTTACAATGGACCCCTGGACAGTGGCCAAAAATCACACTATGAACTGACAGGATCTGACAGGTTCTGATTTTTTTGCTGGGCCAGAGGTGGCCAGAGTTCCATTGAAGCTGCTGTGCTGTTGATCATGTTCAGAAATTGCCTCATTTCAGCTTAGTGCATTCATAAGCCAGATCAGCTTCTCCTGGAAGAACCAAGGTTCACAATGAAATCCAAAGGCCTCTATGTTAACCGTCAATGGGAATTGGTAAGAAATGGTCAAGCCTTGATCAATTTTTCATTCATGCGGCTTGTACATGAAGAGTTTGTGACGTTGCACATGGTTTTGTCTGAAAGCAGGATACTGTATGACAGTGTACCCCCAAATTTCATGGCTCATTACAGTCAGTATCTTCCCCTAAAACATACCCTCTGGTAAACTAACATAACTATGGAAAATCACCATTTTCAATGGGAAAATCCACTATAAATGGCCATTTTCAATAGCTATGTTAAATTACCAGAGGGTAATTAAAATCAATTAAACATAATTAGTCTTCAGATGTTTTCAGATACATCCAGCATTTTCAGGTCACAAACCTGGAGAATTTCCGATTCCGATTCTGCGCTGCTTCCAAGGAGATCCTACCTCGCAGAGACCTACCGGGCACTGAGGGGTAGGGAATGACCCATCAATAGCTTTAGGGGTGGTCGCCGAGTAACTGACTTTCATCACATGCATTTATAACTTATACAATCTCATACAATTACAATTTATTATATATATATACAGAGGTTATTAACTTATATATCGGATGCCACTACAGCAGAAAAGAGGGAATGTCGTGGATTTGTTTCTCAAAAAGATCCAACGCACAAAGTAAGGTTTGCAGGCATCATGAACTCCTGGTCCTATTTATTTACTTCGCCTGCGGCGAAGTTTTCAGGTATGTTTGTTTCAGACAAGAGAACTGGCAGATTTCTCCCGGAATTTCTTAGAGTTTCCGGATTGACCACCCCAGCTGGATATGATTGCAATATAGATCCCCTGCTGGATTCTCAGAGCAACCAGCGGCCATTTGAAGGCTGTCTCTCAGCCAAGGTTGGGCATTGCCAATACATGGGCATTTACCGGGGGATAAGGATAAACCATGGGTTTTTGGAGGTACAGATCTCCTTCTTTTGGCACATTGCCAGACTGCCCCAGGACATATCGAAGTAGGAGTCTCCGAGGTTAGCAGATGCTCTGAGTCCCGGCCAAAGATCAATTTTCGGAGCCGCGAGCCTTCTGATTTCTTTCAACAAAACTTGAAATTGGGGACTCCAAAGCAACCCGGACACGTCCCCAACACAGTTCGTCTTACTATGTCACTGTGTCCTATTCTTGAGAAAACCCTGGGTTGAGGGTCCCTAATTTTGAGAGTGCTACGATGAAAAAAGGGAGAGCTTGAGTGCGCTACTGAGCTTTCGGAGAAGCTTTTAGAGAAATGGCATGGTGCAACGGGAGACTTTGGATGATTTCGGTCAGTTTCTTCGGGCGGCAATCAATGAGGCTGAAATTTGGCAGAGATTTAAAAAGGACCAAAGCATTGTCCGTGCAGATGTCAGGTATGCAGCCCTTTATTTTCTGGTGTCGTGCTGTGACGAATTTAGCCCGCAGCGTCCCTGGCTCTAGACGCAAAAGTTCCCAAATCCAAATCTGAGACCATCCGCGTGTACAGCAAAGAGGGTCTGAATTCGATCCCAATGACACGAGCAGGACAGGTGGCGTGCGCATTGTTGCGCCACCTTTAGTATTTGGAGGATGCATGATATTTCGAGGGCTAAATCCCTTATCTTGTTAGTATTGTTAGTTAAACCCCTAGCTTGGATTCAGTTTCAATGGTCCAAAGTCACTTGATGAATCTCAATCTGCCAACTATTGGCTGGTTCAACCCCCGTCCACAACTCACTGGTCTGATTCCTATTTGTTCCATTTTGTTCCCCTCAAACTGATTCGATGCAACTCGATCTTGATCTCCAAGTTTATTGGCTAAATCCCACCCCAAAAAACTACTGTATCCCTTCTGGCTGAATTAAAACTAATTACCTCACCACGAATAAATCTTCCGTATCCCCACATGAAATGTTCAGATCGCCCATGATCCCCGTCAACTCTCCATTGCTTTGATTCTAATTTTGGGGGTCAAATCAACGAAATCCAGAAATAATTACTTTACTGTAGTTTGCTGCTGACAGTCGCACTTCTACACGGAATCCGTCAATACTTCTCTTGGTGAACAGCAATTCTTGACCGATTTAGCCAATAAAACATGCCGCTGCTGTATCCCATGCGGTTGCCCGTAAAAATCAGAAAAATCCATAGATCAATGGATTGGCTTTAGGGAAAATCTACCGGAAACCATCGATTTTCCTATGAACTCTCGGTGTTTCCTGCCATTTTTTCTCCGAAACTCCGTCCATTGGATAGAAGATCCCCATTTTCTCTGGTAAAAATCGGTCAGATCGGAGGAGCCCATCCCGTTGCGACGCTGTGCCTGGCGCTGCTCGCTCCCTTCACCGCGGCCATGCGGTTGGAGCCGGGCGCATCGGAGCTGCTGCGGAGCTTCGCGGCGATGATGGAGAAGGTGGGATGGGGTAGTACAGGTAGGGATCCCCATGGGATATAGGAGAAAATATATGGATATGGATCAATACCTATTAATACCATTTTAGGGGGATGAACATCCATTTACCAGCTATTTTGATGTTCACCAGGGGTACAAGGTTTTGACACACTGCCATATGGGAAAATATATGGTAAACTATGATGATTCTGGGATGGAATATGATGGAATGGGGGTTTTCCATAGGGTTTTCCATAGGGTTTTCCGGTTTTGGCCTCGAATTTTGGAGATCATTTCTATAATGAACCATCATATGGGATTTAATAACTGAAACTAGTGATATATGATATATGTAAAAATCTCCCTTGACCAGTTATAATGGTTAAAAATGGGCTTAGAAAAGTTAATTATAATTGTTTTTTGGGTCATAAGTGTGGGATCTGCACCTGCCATAAATGGTCATTTTTTGAGCTTTGCGATTTGTGGAACATCACCATTTTTAGGAGGTACATCCTCATAAATAAACATAAATTATACAGTAAATCATCTAGAATTGGGCAAGTTTTCTGTTAAATTACCACAGGTTGTAGGTTGGATTGATGATCATTGACATAGGTGATCTAAGGGTATCTACGGGATGATGTACAAGTTTTTTCTGGAGGTTAAACGCACAACACACATGTTTGACTATCGATTATCTATAGATGATCTAAGAAACAAACCAATCAAACATAAACTCCAGTGGTATTCCAACCAATTCAGAACATCTATGGTCATGGAGGGTATAGTCATAGATAATCTTCACCACTGTTTTTGCAACCAATCTCTCCAGTGGTGGGAGGGAACCATGAAGGGAGCTAGGGGTTTCCATGCTTTTTGTTTCAGCTAGCTGTAGCTCTAAGACTCTGATGATCTAAGAATCCCATTATATTGCAACTCCCCAAAGAGATAGTAAAATCCTAGGAAGATAGTAATAGATGACATTTCTATACATTTCTATCTTTTTTGGGCTGCCATATAATACTGTATTTATCATATGTATATCTATCTAAACTATAACGACCTCACATCGCAACATCACTGTAAGAGATGGTTTGTAAAAGACATTGTCGCACAATGTTTTTTTTGGTTTGGTGAATTATTTTTTGTAATTTGTCCAGATCTATAGATGATCTAAGGAATGATCCACATCATCTTGCATCCCATTGACAAGTGATCAGATGATCTACAGTAGTATCTTCAGATCTGGTATGTGGACATTCATATTTTCATGTCAGACATGCAGCAAACCCTGGCACAGTAACTTTTCGGAAATTCGATGTGGAACAAGGAAGAATCACCACTAAAAAACCGGTCATTCATCCATTTTTATGGGCCATGGCTTCCACATGGCTTCCACATAGACATGGGGAAAGCAATGGGATGATCATGGATACTCTGAACCAGTGGGATGATATTCATACGTGAATTTACGTTGAGTACTAGAGTTTACTACAGTTCATCATCCACAAAAGGGTTTTTATATCCATGACCCTTGGGTTGTAACTTGGACATAAACCCGCGCAAGCGCGGCCATTTTTCGATGTCCCAAGTTTCAGGAAATCTGATCTAAACATTTGTAGATGGAGTGGAGAATCCTCATTATTTGTGCACTTCTTGGTAGTCAGCTGGATATGAAGCAAGAACTGGAGGATAGGTCACTACAGCGATGGAGATACCTACTGTAGGAAAGCTCAATTGACATGGGGAGCCTTTCCAGCCACACATTGGGGTCAGTGAAATTCAGGGAGAGAAATACTGGAGTCCTTATATGTCCTTATCTAAACAAAAGCCTTACTTTGCCAAGATGACGGAGATGTTGAAACTCAAACACGTTCCGGTTTATATATAGGATCACTTTTTTGTCGTCCCCTAGTTTAATGATTGAACATAAGGATTTCCCTTTGCTAGAAGGGTATTAATCCATCTTGAAAGCAACATTTGCATGAGGCATTGCAACTTCAAAACCACTCCTTCTCACGTCTTTGACTTCGATTGTGATTTGGGTCAATGGGTCGATTTCAGGTACCCTCTGGTAATTTAACATAACTATTGAAAATCACAATTTTTCATGGGAAAACTCACTATAAATGGCCATTTTCAATAGCTATGTTAGTTTACCAGAGGGTAACAGCTAACAGCTGGTAACACGGCTGGTTTCTTCACACTGGAAATATGCCGGGAATCCCGATCTCCCAACTTCTGCCACATCCCACGCCCCTGATGATTGGTCAAAGCTTGTGCTTCAGATTGCCTCAGTAAAGCCAGAAATTTGAACTGGTTGGTGGTTTGGAACTTTTTTTTATGACTTTCCATATATTGGGAAGTTCATCATCCCAACTGATGAACTCATATTTTTCCAAGGGGTGGCAAAAAACCACCAACCAGTGGTCATTTATGCAACATTTTGGTCATTTGCAATAGGGAGATCATAGGGACACCTATGGCACTATTGGGGTCCCCATATCTGAAAAAAAGATGGGTGCACTCGGTGCACTCGGTCTGAGCCAGGAGCAGCCAGATCCCATGGCCGAGATGAAAATGCCACAGTCACTTACTAAGGTTGAGGCGATTGGGGATTGGGGTTGTCCCCAACCATGGGAAAACGATGGGAAAACTGGTATTTTTCCTGGTGAATTGTCGTCATTATGCCGATGAGATGGAGTAGAGAGATCGCAGTGGCCGAACAGAAGAACCCCAAGGACAACAGGGAAACACACATGGCACTTTTCAAGCAGATCGAAATTTGAAAACCACACGTGTTTTTGGTTTCCAAAAAATATGGGCTGGGAGTTTTCATGGGTGTTTCGCTTAGAACCAGCTTGTTTTTTTAAACTTTGAGTCTGGTCTACTGGGCGATGGCCATTGGTTGAACGCCTTGGTGGCTGTGACGTCAGGCTGCCTTCAGTCATCTCAATGACTCCAACGTTTCCTTCGAGGATCAGGTGACTCTGGCTGATACTTGGGGTGTGTTGAGCCCAAGTCCGAAAAACCATAATATGTGTGATCGCACAGAGACATATGTGTACGTATATACATATATATACATAATTATATATATGATTATGCACAATTATATCATATTATATCATATTATATCATATTATATCATATTATATCATATTATATCATATTATATCATATTATATCATATTATATCATATTATATCATATTATATACATATTATATACATATTATATACATATTATATATATATATATTTATGTCATATATGACATCATATATATATATGTATATATATATACATTGTATAGATACAGATAGTTACGATGCATACAAATGTAATGACGGCTGGATCGCGGGGCAGTGGCCCTTCAGGGATGCGAAGCAGTGGTCAGACGCCAGGGTGGGGTATGTTCTGAAGCAACGTGTGTATGTCTATACATGTGTGTATATATATATAAGGAAAATGGTTAATAAGGAAAATCATCCCCAAATGACCTAAATTCAGGTTAGTGAAATATTGTAATTTACCCAGATAGATATATATATAGTGACATTCACTACAAGTGATAAGCTAACCCTCCGTTTGCCATCAAAGAACATGGGTAAACTGAGGTTTTAAACATGCTCAATTGAACCACCAGATTTGTTTCTTCCCAATCATTTGATATATCGTCCCCTCCTGTAAATTTTCGTCGGTTTCCCCAAATTTCTCGCAGAATTTGATGGGAAGAAAAAGCAGGAAAACCCGATATTTTATAATAAACAGCCAACCATGAAACTTGTAGATATTCATTAAGGATCATTAAGGGAATATCTACATCCCTTAAGTTCCCTTGTAACAAGGTATTTAAATATCCAGTAGGTCAATATTTAAATCCCTTAACATCCTTTCAATGGGGCCTTGGGATGGGCAAGGCCAAAGAGCAAGTGGCCTCCATGATCAATGCAGGGAAGACGTTGGTGCAGAATGAGGCGGGGAAAGTCATGGCCCATGCACTGTACCCTCTGGTAAACATACAAAAAACTATGGAAAATCACCATTTTTTATGGGTAAATCCACTATAAATCACCATTTTCAATAGCTATGTTAGTTTACCAGAGGTATGTGTATACTCTCTATGTTTATCCCCACAAAGATAGGCATTTTTTACGATATAATTTATAAATCCCTGCTGAAAAAAAACTGAGATGTGATGTAATTTTCAGCAACATTTCTATATCTTTTTTGGGGGATGACTATTTACAATTATTTACATACAAAGACATCGGTCAAAACCTATGACATGCCATATTTGTGGGGATGAAGGTCGATCAATCCCAGCTATTTTGGGTTGCTCTTGACTGAATAGATCTGAGATTTGGAAAATCATTCCTGGTCAATATTTAGTATATTTTGCTTGTGTCCATATTGATATTTAATATATTTTGGTTGGTATATTAACCACTATTAACCACTATTAATCTTGGAAAATCACCATGGTTCATAGGTAAATCAACTATAAATGGGCCATTTTCTATAGCGATGTCAGCCATTACCAGAGATGATCTGAGTTTTGGACATGACGAGCCAAGGATTTCCCTGACAAACCGCAGGAAGTGGACGATCCCAAGTCCTTCCTCGCAAGGGGACAGACATGCAAGCGGATCCCTGGCTGCGAACCTTTCCAGTGACAGTTGGAAGATATGTGAGAATTTATACGTATATATATATATACATATATGAATATGTATATATATATACATACACATGTGAATATATATATATATATATGTATATGTATATGTATATATATATATGTATATGTATATATATATATATATATGTATTTGTGGATATGTGTACATATTCTCTCTCTCTCTCTCTTTCCGAACATAACCAGGCAATTTGTTTTATAGAGGTTTAGCCATCAACCATTGGGATTCAACAGGATTGGTCTCAGAGAACATCTAGATAAAACCGGCTACCCTCTGGTGAACTAACATAGCAATTGAAAATGGTGATTTATAGTGGATTTTCCCATTAAAAATGGTGATTTTCCATTGCTATGTTAATAAAACTGGCTAATTATTACAATCAAAAGATGTTGAATTTCCTGTGAAAACATATTTCTTTCCAAGCAATTCTGGGCAACATCTTGCAACTTATAATCTTGAGAGACAATGGGGATACCCTCTGGTAAACAGCCACATAGCTATTGGAAATCACCATTTTTAATGTGAAGACTCACTATAAATGGTGATTTTCCATAGCTATGTTAAATTACCAGAGGGTATGAGACATAGATTCTATTCACAAACCAGTTTGGGGCAGCACTGGCACAGTCACAGGGGTGCCTCCGAAATAAACTCATGGATATGGCGAGGGGACCTTGCATAAGCATATGGTGGATCGTAGGTGAAACGGTCGAGTTACATGGGTGTCATGGGGTGTTTTCATTAGTTATAAGAATCCCTCATGATGGTGGGATGACCATAGCCCATATACATCCATATACCACATTTTGACCATGGGACATATGGGGCACCTGTATCCGGTGAAATCTCTTTGTCTGCTGGCGTTGGATCTTTTCCTCCTATGAATGGTGTGTCAAACTAGGGGCTGCGCTACAGACAACCACCATCACTGAACAAAGATAGGGATATTAGCCACAAATTGCATGTGCATCATCAATTTGCGTGTGTCCGAAAATAGAAAAGCGGCCGCAATTGGCTTGAATTGTATGGAGCCAAAAAATGGGGCAATGGGTCATCAATCCATGTCCAGAAGGTTTAAAAAACACCCACGACTGGTTAGGATTCCCATGACTGGGATGGATGCAATGCCCCCATATCATGCATATAAATTGATATATAACTTGACCATGGCACGTATGGTGGCACATCCTATCCTCATATAAAGCACCCCTTCGAAATCCCTAGATGACCCAAAAATGTGAGCACAGCCTACTATGCCATGATTTCTGGAGGGTGTTCAATATTACGGGGATGGGAGTAATACGTAACAATATGGGATGTATGGCCTTGTGTAAGAATTTGGGGGTCAAGGAGGTGGGCAGACGTGAACAGACAGAGGAGTTGAGCGAAGAAAATACACATATTCTCTTTGTAGCAGAGCGACCCGCGCTGTTCATTGATAAATACTTCATAATCTTTTTGGGTCTCACCATAGTTCTTTTTTTCATAATATGTCAGATTTTCAAACCGATTCGGATTGACAATCCAAAAATCACCAATGTTCTTCAGGTGGGAACCACCGGGTTGCCAGATTCAAAGAGACAACGAATCAGACAAAAATGCCTGGGCAGTCCTCGTTTCCTAAAATGGAGATACCCCAAAATGGATGGTTTATAGTGGAAAATCCATCTATCAATGGATGATTGGGGGGTACCCCTATTTTAGGAAACCTCCAGTTGGTCCTTGAGGAAATGTCAGAAGAAGATGAAGAAACATATGGGCAACACCTGCGCTTCGGCCTGGCTATGGATGGTGTTGGGCTATGGATGGTGTTGAACACATGTCATGGTCATTGAAGTTGAGGACCGTTACGAAATGATGACGTCTCCGGTTAGAACGAAGAACGTAAAAACTCATGATATGAATCATACTAATTTTAACTTAAGATGATCTTTGATAATATTGAATGATCCAAAAATCAACTGAAGACTAAGACGTGGTGCCACGTTACCGTTGGACTCGGGATGAAATTGGACTGGTGACCTTGGGCACCGTGGAGATTTCAGGTGAACACTTGGAGTTTCAACTGGAAAAGGCCAAGGAGGCGCCCGGGGGATCCATGAAATTTGGGGGTTAGCCTTGAGCTGAGTCATCCATATCTATCATCCATATCTATTTTTGAGCCATCCCAGTCAAATGTCATTGGCTGGCTAAGTTGCTGATGGTTTTCTATTTTCAGCCACTTTGGTTTGAGAATGTCCAATGTTGATGCAGCGAAGCAGTTAACCTGCGCTAATATTTATTGGGGGTTAGCCTCCAGTAAATTAACATAAACCCTGCCAGATAGGGGTTAGTTCAGATGAGTTTCCATTACAAAATGGTGATTTTCAGGGTCCAACTGTTTATTTACCAGAGGGTTTTGTCGATGGATTTATGACTTAAAATCGTTGGTTCACGGATTTGATAAAATTCTCCCAATCATGGCGTCATTTCACAGGTTTTAGCCATTCGACAACATTTCGTGATCCCTTTTTTGGGGGGGGTTGGTGATGAAGAAATCATGAAGATACTGGATGATGTAAACAATATGAGGAAAAATATGGCAACCGCTCCTGGAACCTGATCTTCTCATCCTTGGGGAGCCACGTTTGGCCAGACGACACCAATGGGCAAGAAGATTTCCTGGACGTTCGGTGTTCATCTGCAATCTTTCCCAAAAACAGATGGACGTATGAGAACTTGCTGTCAGGTGGATCATGCCCATCTTATCGATTCTGTCAAGAACGCTTTGAGTGTCTGCAAGACCAGTAACTTTGACTGCAGACCTGGCTCATGGGATATAACCGGATATTTGGGACGTGGAAAAGTAATGTCAGCTACTGGGGATTGAGCCATTTTCAGGATCATTTTGGCGGGGTCCAATGATATCACATTTGGGGGTGAATATCCATTGAAAGGACATCAAAGCTGTTCAGCAGGCTACCTGTTTTGTTTTTTTGCCTGAAACATTATCTGGTTGGTGGTTTGGAACATGAATTTTATGACTTTCCATTCAGTTGGGAATGTCATCATCCCAACTGACGAACTCATATTTTTCAGAGGGGTAGGTATACACCAATCAGTTATAAAACTATCAACTATCCAATTGGAGGAGCCTCCGTGGGCAAATGCAAGGGACTACCATCTAAGCGACATCCTGGGGTTGCCCCAAGAGTGCAAGGGAGATGGGTTACAGCAGTTTGAACGTCAGAGCACATATGTACATGTATAATCATAATCATATATAGTTACTGTATATCTATATGTATACATGATGATATATTATTATTCTTGTATATGTATACTAAACACACACACACATACATATGTATATCAATGTATGGCCATCATTGATGCTCAACCCAGGTGCGAAGCATCACCAGGAGTACTGCACATGGAAGTGTTGGCGCGAAGAGCTCTGAGTGCCACGCGTCGCAACGATCAACGCGTAACGATGCGCGGATTTCGAGTGGCCACGGACACAGCTGGTTGGGCGGTTGGGCGGACACAGCTGGTTGGTGGTTTCAACATGTTTCAACATACAACATGGGTGTGTCTGAAAATAGTGTACCCCTAAACCCAATGGTTAATGATCATTATCCCTATTAAATGGCTATTTGTTTGGGAATATACCCTATTTTCAGACAAACCCACATGATATTGTGCATGTGTACATATCAATACATATTATATACTGGATATGTATCTCTACACAAAAAAGAGGCATATCATATTGGTACCAGGGTTTAGCAATTTTCTCCACCTGGGATGAGGATTTTTGCCAAAGGTACCCACGTGGATACCCAAAGGTGTTCGGATCGGTTTTAGCAGAGTAGCTTAGAGGACTTAGTATGTTTCAAATCTGTTTCAATCTGTTTGCGCTTGGCACATTATGGCACATGGAATGTGCCCCCCCAAAAAAAATGCCACCTGTCCATCCGTGGCCCTTGTAATCTGCTACTAGCTCCCAAGGGTGAGCCGGAGAAATCCTGAGTGCGTGGTGAATTGATGATGCGCGGTGTGCTGGAGAAAGAGGGCGCAGTTTCCACTGGGTGTGGTGGCCGTCGTTAAACTCGCTGATGCTTCAGTCGCTTGGGGTGACGTTTCCTCAGCATTTCAATTCAATACACCAAGTCTCCTTTCAGTGTCGCATTACCTACACGCGCAACTTGGGGTTTTCGATTTTTTTTGGACACATTCAAACTTGGGACCTCCAACCGAACGTGTATGTTTCACTCTTTCTTGTTGTTTTCGAGCAATAGATCCCAGATGCTCCAACTAATCTGTCTATATTTGCCAGAGTACCAGCACTTATCCAACTAAATCATCCATTTTATTTTCAGATTTTCCATGAAATAAACCATCCAGCCATTGGGGTACCTCCATGTATAGTTTTGCCGGTTGCTATCAACCAAGAATCGAAAACAGGTGGAGCATCGAGTGGTGGTGGGCACGGTGCATTCCTACGATGTGTCCAAGGATCAGAGGGGGTGACGACTTGGGAAACGACTTTTGAACTTGCAGGATCATCCCATTTTTGCTGGTGATATATAGTGACTATACTTGGAGGTATATTTTAGTAACTGGTTGTATAATGTTGTATATCTATATACATATAATATATAGATGTACACATAGTTTTGTGCTTAGGTATTAACCACAGTTTGATTTAGCTTCATGTACAGTGGGATGGTCCCCCAGAAATAGTGTTAGTTTTTTTGGGCCAAAAAAAGGACCCAAAACTGGAACATGGGAATTGAAGCAACACACAACAAGGAACGGCCCGGATTTTACATGATTTTACCAGAGATGGGGAGATTCGAAAACCTTCGAAAACACAACAACTGTCTGCACAGTATTCGAGCATATTCGAACAACAAACATGGGGAAACACGGATTTATGAGCAATAATACCAGAGGATTGAAACCAAGAAGCGCCAAACAAAAACAATTTACATCAATTTACCAACGAAAAAGGAACCATGGACAGCAAAAAAGAACGGGAAAGAATGGGTACAGACAGTCGTTAACATTTAAAATCCCATGTTGAGGATCCAAGAAATGGTTTCCACAGGGGATTTCACCAGCAAAGGCGAGGGATGGAAGTTTTGATCTTGGTCAGAGGGGCCACTTCGCTTGACGGGAGTTGCCCATTCTTGTGGAGATCCCCGTGAAATGTCGTTGGAGAAACAATGAGAAACATGTTGTAGTCTAAGCCCATTTTAGTATATTTTAGTTATTATGAAATCAACTTACATACTGCATGTAGATCGAATTCTTCAACAAATAGTTTCGACATAATTTCCAGCTGTGCGGAACATTGTGTTTTTTTTTCCAAAAAATATAACTCCATTCCCATGATCCCTAATTCGAATATTGATGTATATTGGGTCTGTTAATAACCCCCGAACTCTTCCTCAACTAGGCATTATTTAATCATAATTTGACACATTTCTCATTTGAGTTTTTTTACAGGTTAAACCAATCGTATCCAATCCATGGATGTCCATTGATGTTGATGGTCCATACCCTCTGGTAAACAGCCACATAGCTATTTTTCGCATTGCACATAGAAATAGTTGATTTACCTAGTAAACATGGTGATTTTCCATAGTTATCTTAATTTTCCATAGTTATTTACCTAGTAAACATGGTGATTTTCTATAGCAAACTGTTAGTTTACCAGTGCTGAAGAGATTTCAGGGTCCCACCAAAACTGCTGCCGAGACCCTGGCCTGCAGGGCTTTGGATTCATGAAGGCCGAGGGTCTCAATGGCGACATCTTCTTTGCCAGGCAACGATGTGGTCGGTGGTCGATGGTGAAGGATGGTGAACATTTTTCATGGTGGATCCCAAGATGATATTAATGGTTAGTATTAATGTTAGATTATGTTAGTATGTGAACATCTAGTGTGAATTATTGTAATGTGATGATGGTTGCATGTGGTAAACTAATGTTGACTATAATGTTAACTAATGTTCACGTGTTAATTTTTGTAATTCACTAGTGTTATTGTGTATTATGGTTAACTAATGTTGACTATAATATGGTTTTTCGTGGTTAATATGCTCAAAAAACCATACGTTTTTATTATCCTGGATGAGTCCCCAAATGGCCAGCTATTTTCAGCCAAATCATCCAACGAGAGACCATGACTTAGAAAAAGTTGGTTATATAACTATATAAGGTCCCATATATAACCATAGTATTCTCTCTATATAACCATAGTATTAAAACCCATGGTTGACTGGGGCAATCCCCCATTTTAAGAGCCCCCATATGGTGTTAAATTACTATGGTGATATAGTTATATACGCTTCTTCCGAGATGATGGATCACTCTACTATGGTGTATCTTATTGTTAATTTGGAGTGATTTTAAGCGAGTTAATATGGGATAAATATGGATAGTAGTTGTTTTGAAGGGAACATATTTAAACTTGGTTAATAGTGTTAGTAATCATACTTTTTCCCCTTGGCAATATGATGGGATTTAAATGTGTTTGTTTTTTTCCTCATTCCTGATGATAGGAGAAACCTTGGTTAAAAAATGGTTGTTACACCCCAAACATAGCGGCTTCCGTTTTTTCCCGATAGTTCCAGGATATATGTCAGATAGATCCAGTCATGTAGATAAATAAGATGGCGTGGGTAGTAATGAAACCATCCCATCTTCGGATACTATTTGGCAACAGATTTCACACGGCAAAATCCACAATTGACATGTCCATGTATAGATGAACGACTTGGAGTCTTTCCATTGTCATAGCCTCCGCGAGGGCACTCTGATGTTTATTTGGGGCTGGAACTGTAACATTTTGGATATTCTGATGACTTGACACCCCACTGAAGGGTTGAAAGAAGATTTTACTGTACATTTCCTGAAGTGTGGTATTGAATTGAAAGCGGTTCTTTTGGGTTACATGAGATTTGAGGGGTGTATGGTGCACACTTCGGTAATGAAACTCGAAATCGCTGGGGCTGGGTCAATCTTCGAGGTTGAATCACCCATAGGATGTAAGCAACTTGCTGTATTTCACCATTCAACTGTCTTTTTTGTCGCCGTCCTTTTTTGACCAATATGCCAATACGTATGGATGTGTCCTTTGAGCGGAGGTTGGACCTTTTAATTCACTCAAAAAAACCGGAACCAGATTCTAGTGACATCGTTGGATCCTGTATCTCATTGAGTAATTTTTGGCAGTGACGCGGTAAAGATTACTTTCCTGATTGGTTTCTTGCGTGCACCACTTGCATTTTTGATTTGTGCTTCCAGTCATGCGGGCCCGAGCAAGAAATTTCACAACTCGCAATCATCTACCATCCCATTTTTTTGGGGTCATCTCAAGACATGTTTTCTCCAAAATGGTGGTCCTTGTTTTGGTCTTGCATTTCTTTCCGCACCTTTTTTCCAGGTCCGAGTTGCCCGTGGAGTTGAGGGAGGAAGAGAAGGAGCAGGCGCAAAAGATATTGCTAGGAAGTACTCGTATGGAACAAACATGGTGGGTGTTTTCCAGGTATTGCTTGTATTTCTTTGCAGTGTTATGCTGCACTGAAAAGATCCGGGAACTTAGCATCCTGAGTTCCCACAAAGACCAGGAAATTGACGTGTCGTTTTTTGATGCAAAAGGAAGAGCAATCCACTGCCAAGTTGACTAAGCCAGGCCACTTCGACCCATGCCCCGAAATTGAATGGGAAATGACTTTCTAATAATCCATTGTTCCCCACCTGTCAGGTGAGGGTTGTTAGATTTTATGTCAGCCTGCCCGCCTTCCTTCCTCCTTCCTCCTCCTTCCTCCTTCCTCGTCCTTTCTCCTCCTTTCTCCTCCTTCCACCTCCTTCCTCCGCCGGACCTCAACTGCAAGCTCTAGATCGCAGTGTTCCTCGCTGGACCCGAACGGCAACCTCTGGATCAGAGTGATCCCCGCCGGACCTCCACCGCAAGCTCCGGATCAAAGTGTTCCCCGCCGGACCTCAACTGCAAGCTCCGGATCAGAGTGTTCCTCGCTGGGCCTCAACCGCAAAGAATCTCCGAAGATATACCAGATAGAATGCCAGAAAAAAATGTCAGAACAGATGCCAGATAGAATGCCAGAAAAGAATGTCAGATAGAATGCCAGATAGCATGCCAGAATAGAATGTCAGAAGATTGTACCATATATTTCCAAATGATATGGCAGAACTATGACAAATAAGTATCAGGGTGGGATCACTCGAAGTAAAGTATTTTTTTGGGAGGAACGCCCAAGCAGATCCAAACAATGTGTGCCCTCCATCTTTTTCTGGTGTTGAGCTTTTCTGCTTGCTCCTTTTTGGCCACCCAGATGCCGCCAGTTGCTTGGGAAACACATGGAGTTCGAACTGAAGACCATGCCGGATGGCAAGTTTCGTGCCAGGCGGGCACTGAGATGTCGACGCAACTTGGAATTGAAGGATACCTAAGGATGATGTTCAATGTGCAGAGTGCCTCCAGAATCATCCTGATACAGAACTGATTTGCTCCTGATCCCAACTTCAACCCCAGACTTTGACAAATTCCAGTGTCTTCGGGCCCTGAGATGCGACAACCTGCAGGAAACTTCTACATCTCAGACGCATAGGCACTGGGTGCAGCTGGGACGGTGGAATTTAGCATGTTCCAGCCGTGAAATTTGTGTGAGTCCAGCAGCTACAGTTGTTTCTCATAAGGCCCTATGCAGTTCAGCCATGTTCAGCTCCACTCGGGTGACGGTATGTCCAAGAAATCATTGAATGGAGAAACACCTGGTGCAGGTGGTCCACGGGCCCGTGGCAGGCGCCATGTCCGACCTCAACTTGCGGATGTTCGTTTTGTATCGTTAGTAGGGGAAAGTACCCAAAAGGGTGGGCTTAATTTCAGCTTATTGCCTGGTTTCGGAAAATATGGTGAATTCTCTATGATGTTACATTTATTTGTGATGATGTGCCCAGGATCATAGATGCCCCACATTGAGAGTAGTGATGGATGTGCCTCTTTTTCGCTCCACTTAGATTCCACTACTCTAGGACGGTCTTATTCTTCTAGCCATTCTACTATAATTATTCGAGGTGGCTACAGTCTGGGATGCACAGCTAGTTTGGGGAATTGACCACCGAAGTTGCAGAGGGCTTCCCCTGGGTATTTGGGTGAAGTTGTTGGGACGCCCCCTGCATAGTCCCCACTAAAATGATCACAACTTTTTCAATTTACGGGTCACATTCTGGCCCCGGACCCATAGTTTGCCAGTGATCTCCCCATGTCAATTTGCAGGGTGATCAAGTACTACCAAGAGAAGGGCTACGGTTTCATGGGTCGGACACCTAGACCCGCTGGACAAAATTCGCCCCATGGTGCCCCTAGATTGGAGTATCTCCCATGGCTTGAAAAAACAACGACCTTTGCTTCCCTGGATGTTGGGCTGGATGCTGGTGGATAGTTTTCTTGCGGAAGATTGAGAAATTGATGGAGGACACAGGGAATTGATTCTGGATGATGATGATGATGATGCTGATGCTGATGCTGCTGATATCCCCTGAAATACAAAGAACCGCTGCGAGGATGGATTAGAAGATATTTCAAGACTTCTTAACAGTTTTGAAGACTGAAATTTCATGAAATTTCATGAAATTTCGTATTTGAGACACTGGGAGACGGACTTCTTGGAGGCTTCCACGATGTCTGATGTAAACTGCTGTGGCTCGACTGAGACTGCGGCTGGGCCGACAACGTCTTCTTTTTGCGGAGTTCATTGCCAAAGGCCGTGTGGTTCAAAGATGTTAAACTGGTTGTATCATATTAATCATGGGGATGAACACGTTGAAAGAAGTTGTGTGGAAAGAAACAAAAGAAACTCCTTGCGATGTATCAAACTTTGTCAAGGTCATTCGCAATGTCAGTTGCACCAAAAAATTCTTCCATTCTCATCCATTTTCCATCTTCGCCAACTTGTCCATGTTTGCTAACAAAGATCTCGGCAAACTACACGGACGTCAGCACGTCATCACCAAAGGATCCCAAAAGTGCGATGGTGAGTAAGGGGAACTTCCAAAACTACATTTTTTGAACACCTTATGTTTTTATCTGATTGGTTGGACGTTGGTGAACTGGTACTAATGTGGTTATAACATGTTATAACAATAATTAATAAACAACCCCTTTGGGAATGGTTTAATTTATACCACCTATAAAAATGGTGATGACTGGGGGATGGTTTATGGCATTGTTTTACCCATATGAATGTGGTTAAAACATGTTAAACACCACAGATCTTTGGTTTAAAGAACCCATTTCTGGTGAGTGGAACGTGCACGCCAGGATCTCAATGATGCGCCCTTTGAGGAGCATCACCTGGACATGAAATCCCAGAATTCCCATGTTTCTGGGTGAAATCCCAACTTGATGTTGCTCAACTTGAACCCAAAATTTGATGATTAAAACCTGATTTCTGCGGGTGAGATGCAAATTGTTGCATACATTCCCAATCATTCCGATTTTTGTTGATCAATCCCTGGTTTTTATTGATGACATCCCCAAAATGTGCATTGCTTAAAAACCAACAAAAACCCAAAAATTTCTGTTGCTTGAATGGTCCCGGTTTTTTTACACATCCCAAGTCTTTTCCGAATCTTTTCGTGCTGTCCGACGCAGGAGTTAAAGGAGCTGGAAATCTCCTTTGAGGTGACATCCAAAGATGGAAAGCCGCGGGCCAAGGGCCTGGAAATTGTTGGTCGGGACCGGGGGACCGGAGCGGAGTGGAGCGTTTTTTTTGGCTGATTTTGAGGATTGGAAATAACGAAAAGTGGTGATTTCATGGGGATTTAAGACACTTTCACTGGGTTGAGATTGGCGAAAATGAGCTGAGGGCATAAGAGGGCTGGAAGGCCATTAAATTTCCTTACAAATGTTTTTGTGTTTGGATGTAGCTTAGTTGGTTGGATGCTAGTTCTTTTTCCTTTGGTCGTTGTAATATACGTGGTAAGTAACGCCTTAATTAATCATAAACCCTCGAGCAAACTAAGATGACATGGTTTCCATGTATATATCTATATAAATATAATTATACAATATGTAATACAATGTATATGTATTTATCATGCCCTTGGTTTGTCCGGAAGAAACCCGTGGTCGTGGCGGATGGAAATAGTGCTTGTCCACGTTTGGAAGATTCTGTTAGCTATTTGTGGGAAAGCATCCATCTCAACAATCAGCACTTGATTCTCCGCAGTTGGCATGTCTGTCTATGTGCCCATTGAATCCCCCATTGACAAGTTCTGTTGGTTCAATCCCATAAAATTTCCATGAACCCCCCGTGAAATCTTTTTTTTTTTGTCAACTCACCTTGCTTTTGGTGGTTGGCATCCCTATGTTCTTTCGGACCTTGCCACGGTTGTTGGATGTTCTTTGAGAGCCCCATGACTCCCATGATGCTCCTGGTGGCGACTGTCAATTTGCCTTGCGGAATATTCCGAACTACGAATGGTCTGAAGACATCTAACGACAAAATAAAGTGGACGACCGGGGGTTCTATAAATGTGCAGTCCGGGATGCCCCAATAGCTTGTTTGAACATGGGGTCTACCCCAAATACCACAACTCCACCGGTTCATCATTGTCCCGATTCAAATGGCCATTTCCGGGCGAAAAAGTTCCGGGCGCCGGCAGGAGAGACAAGCCTCAGATCATAAGGAGCCACAGGACGGAGAGGCGGTCGATGGTTGTGAAGGGCAGTTTCAGGGGATTTCATCGGGACTTTGAGGTACTTACTGTACACCAAAAAACAGCTGGAAAAAACACCCAAATGGCAATTTTCACGGGGGACATGATGATGTGCCCAATTTGCAGACCCAAAATGGGATAAAGTTGAAACATCCCCAAGCATCCCAAACCGGACTGTTTCATGATGTTGGACACCAAAATCGTGAAGACCTTCACATAGAGTCTTGCCAGTTTAAACCCCTCCTGAGGTTGGTTTGCATAGTGTTGAGCAGTTGCATTTTTTAAAACTCAGGTAGCAGGTCCCAAATTTGGACCCTCACTGTACTTACAACCCCTGATAGGACATTTGTTGTATATATATATAATTATATATATATATATATTTATACACACATAGGCAGATAGGCATAAATGATCAGAAATGAACATGATATGATATAGATTATGTATATAAGTCTTGTTCCACCCTGTCACTATTTCTTGCTTCTTCGCCCTGCGAGACTCTTATCGGTGAGATCGTGAACTTTGATCCAACCAAGGACAGACCTCGGCCAGTTTTTTGGGCAATGGAATTTTCGGCCGGGTCTGGAAAGGTCTGGAACATGGATCACTGGCAGTTTCTAGAGTTTTTTTTTGATGATTTTCTGGCTGGAGATGCATGACCATTTTCATCCCAGCTCTTACTTCAAATATTGAGGGCTCTGCTAGCGGCCCATTCTTCGACCAAGGTTCCTTGTTTATAAAGGTAAGAACACAAACATATCCGTTGTCAGACGAATAAGCCATCCAATTCTTGCTGTTTCTGCCCCCACAAGGTGACAGCGGCGATTGTCAATTCTATATATTACCCATGTTGTTTTTGTGTTTTTGAATGGTTTTGGCCCCATCAAACATGGATGAAAGTATGGGGATATTAGCCAACATCCAAAACCTAAGTCACAATGATAGGAATTTGACCCAATACTCAACTCCCAGGGAAAGATTGGGATCTCTTGACCCCAAGGATGCTGGAGAAAAAATGGAACACATTGAAAGACATGCAGTGACATGTCTTGACCCCACAAGCTAAACGGGAGGACAAAACCTTGGGGTGATGATTCCTCGTGACATTTTGGGCATGGGCTGAAACCACCTAGAAAAGCACAGGAAGAGGCCCCCGAACGATAGGGAAGTTGGGTTGTAACTAGGCTAAAGATGGGATTCTGTGTGTATAGTTAGATGGGGTTATAACCCAACAAATGACCAACAAACATAACTTGGGGGTCCCTTCCTGTACCCTCCGGTCATCAAACCTGGCGTGCTGGACGTCCCTCCCCCCATTTGGTTCGGGGATTTCCAGTGGCCATGCTTGGTGAACCATCTTGGGGCAGGACTTTGGTTTCGTCCGTGCCAAAGACTGCGATCAGGTGGGACAACATGATGAGTTTTTAACGTGACCCGTTGGTGACGGGTGACGTGACCGCTTCCAAAACAAGAATTGGGATGGAACCAGCAAGAATGGGCATTTAAATCATTTAAGCAACAAAATCAGGAGCGAATGGTTTCAAGATCTGTTGAGCTTTCATCATGTGGTGTCATATGTTGAGCAACAATTTTGTTGGTGGTTTACACAAGACCTACCAATGAGGAATCCTGGCGATGTTTGGCAAACGCGATGAATTCATGAAAGAATGCTGTAGTGTAGTTGATATCCTGAATAGATTGTCTGGTTGGTGGTTTCAGACATTTTTTATTTTCCATAATATATGGGATAATCCTTTCCATTGACTAATATTTTTCAAGATGGTTAAAACCACCAACCAGTTGTCTTTTTTGTAGAGTATCTCAGATTTCCCACGGCTACACATCCCCAGATATGTCATCTTCCATGCTGACCATATCTGACCATGCTGTGGGTGGACTCCACACCGGAAATTCCGCCAGGTTGGTGGCAAACATGACCTTAGTTGAGTAGCTTTTAATGGATCATTTTAAGATATTTTAAGATATTTTGTTGCCGCTAATCGTGGAAGTTAGATGAGCATCCTTTTCCTTTTCGTACCCTTCTGTACACCACCATAGATGTGGAAAACCTTTGTTCTTTAATTCAGTTTCCGAACGGGAAACTACGGTTTTTCCACATCTAGGATAATCCGCCATACCATGTCTATCTATCATAAGTATCATTGTTACATATCTACAATCTATCATTACCTATCATTATTTATCAATTTCCATCATCATCTGGAAGATAAGTGAAAATCTCAGCCACCTCCCTTGCTTCGTGGAAGGACATCTACTTCACCCGAGCAGAGCTTCCCAGCGAGCTATCCGGCTCCGATCGGAGAGACCAGGTGGGGAAGCGAAGCATCTATGGTGAAATGCTAAAAATGGTGGATCCCCAAGTCACCATATGGGGGTTTTCTAAAATAGGGGCACCTCCCAATCACCCATTCTTGTTTGGTTTTTCCATTATAAACTATGCATTTTTGGGTACCCTCATTTTAGGAAACCCCCATATATATGAGTAACCGACCAAATTATTGTAATACTAATTTAATTCTGGCTTCGCCTTGGCCTTTCCGAGGTTGCACAAAACCTTCATAACCGATAGGGGACGATCCTATACCGATACCCCATTTGTGATACCTCCGGGAATTCTGAAATCCTCACAACCGATAGGGGACGAGTCTAATTTGCGCATGGCATTAAATTTAACATATAATTTTGTCCGCTACTCATATATATATATATACATATATATAGGTTTCAATACTATAGCGGTCTTTTCTCTTCTCTCTCTCTCTCTCTCCCCCTCCACATTATTGGCTGAACCTGGTCGGGGCAAAGAAAGGCAAGAGCTGGTTGGTGTAAAAGTTGGTGCAAAAGGTTCGAGTACAATCAGCTTTGGGTAGAAGCTGGTTTGTGTAAGAGCTGGTCGGTGTAAGTGCGGGTTAGTGTAAAAGGTGCTGTGTGTAAAAGCGAGTTTGTGAAAAAGTTCGTTTGTGTAGAAACTGGTTGGTGCGAAAGGTGGTTTCTGCCAAAAATGGTTGGTGTAAAAGAGTGTTTGTGTAAAAGCTGTGAAAATGAAAATGTGGACGACGCCCTCGAAGATGTAAAGAGACTTTAGGAGATGACGCAGTGAGCTGCAGGTGCTGAAGGTACTTCTGCCTGGAACGGGCAGTAAATCGTGGAGAAAACGTGGAAACATGCTGCATCCCAGGGGCGAGCCGGAGCAACGAAAGACAAGACGGAGATAGTATGATGGAGGATGAAGGAAGAGAACAGAATATGATGATGATGATGATGATGATGATGATGACGATGACGATGAGGATGATGATGATGATGATGATGATGACGATGATGATGATGATGCTGCATACTAGACTAGACTAGACTAGACTAGACTAGACTAGACCAGACTATACACGGCTATCCGAGACGAGACTATACTAGACTATAGTATATATATACATTATGTGTGGTGGGGGGGTCGGGTAGGGCAGCGAAACCGAACATCTGTCAAAGGAGCAATTATAGGTGAAGCTAAAGCTATCGCAAGGTTTGTAACAAAAACACCCACACACGCCGGCAGGGCGGCGGATTACAGGGGTCTTCACCAAAGGTCTGAACATTTAGAGGAGCAGGGTTAGTCATCATTTTCCGTATTGAACTGCCATTTTGGGGAACATACCATGTTGTACCCCATTTTAAAGCAACAGATGCAAGAGCACATAGACTGCAGAAAGGCAGAAGAGTTCTCTCGAATCAATCTCAGGTGGTTGTCTTCTGTGCCAGAAGTGAAAAAGATTCGAATAGCGACCACAATCCACTGGTTAATTGATACTGATTAGGAGATCCTTTTGAACGGTGTTACCCTGTCCACTAGCCCAAGACCGAGAATATTGTTGCAGGCTGGTTGCGAAAGTAGATAGCAATTCACATCAATTCACATCTCAATATCTCCATATATCTCCATAAAATCCATTAAAATCCCTTCGAACTTGTCCCAGACTTGGTTTGAGGCAAGACTCGCGGAAACCCACATATTTGGATGGCACTCCCTCATCCCCAAAAAACACACCTGGTGATTCCTTACGGATTTTTCGTATTCTTTTCCCATTAAATTATCCCTATGAAATCATATAAAACCATCTTGAACTACCATTATACCGGTGAAAAACCACGGCCCTTTTTATTACCATCGCTACCCTAATGAGGTGGTGGGCAAAGAGGTGGAATTCGAGGCCGGGAGCACCGTAAAAATCTCTTCATTTTGAGGGTCGGTCATTAAAAAGGGCTTTTAGTAGTAGGGGATGAGATTGTGTTTACGGCTTATAACATGAATGATTACATGACTATAATATAAATAATATTCATATATACATATATATATATACGTACTGTATCTATATATATATATATTACACAAATAAATAACACCAAGTCTTGGTCGCAACTGAGGATTCCCAAAGCCTATCGGGCTAGTGGCCTGAAAACGACACCACCAAAGGTCCCTTTGGGCACTTGCAACCCTTCATTCGTTCAAGTGGGATCATTATATGTTTCAAGTGCCCACAAGTTGATCTGGTAGTTCAAGTCTTCTTGCTGCCTCATTCCTACCTGAAAAAGCTGCAATGAAAGAAGCTTCATCAGCTGCTAGACCTGTGTAAGACCTACAACAAGCCGTACTCCTTTGTAAGGCAGGTTCCATTTTCATCCCAACGAGCTGGTTCCCCCCAGATCGGCCATAAGCCATGGAATTCGCCCAGTGAACCAAGCCAACTGAGCTATGTATGGGGCACCAAAAAACTTATAAGCCTAGTTACAACTTGAACAACTATAGTTATAAACCATAGTCAATCATAGTTATAAACCATAGTTGATCATACTTATAAACCATGGTTAATCATAGTCATTGGATTGGTTTACGGGCAAATTGAAACCGGAACCCCCCATATTTAATGGGGAAAAACAGTGGTATCCAGTTAAGATTTCCCCTTAAACCAATCCAATGACCATAGTTTAAACCATAAACCAGAGTGCCATACTTATGGACCATAGTTAACCTATAATCCATAGTTAGCTACAGACCATAGTTATAAACAACCATAGTACCATCGCCTGCAGGTTCAAGTGAAGTCTGATGGGAAGCTGCGGGCTCACCAGATGCAGCTGAGCAGCGCAGGTGGGAGAAGTTTTTGGTGATTTCAGCAGCAGAAAACTGGGGCTTTTGATCAATGAGCAATGGATTCATGTGCAACTTAGCCTCTGGTAATGACTAACAGTTTGCTCTTGAACAGTTTGCCATAGAAAAAAGGATTTCCCCATTAATAGCATGGTGGATCTTTCCATCGAAAAATGAGGCTGTTTACCAGAGGGTTTTATAGAGGATTCCTGAGAATTCATGGGCAGTCTCTTGGGATTCATGGGGATTTTACCACGACGCCAAGTGCAACTCTCCCATACTATCCCCAGAAAGAAAGCCTTATTTCAGGTAAGGAAATACACCCAGTGGGTTTGTCATGGAGTGTTTGCGAAGATGATCCAAAAAGGGTATGGAAATGGAAATGGAATATTAATTATACAGTATACCCCTCAAAATTTAGCAATTTTAAAGAGGGACATAATGATAAACCTATAAACCACTGGTTCTTGGTGTCAAATTTCCAGAGAAACCTACATTCCCAATTAATGTGTTCAGATTCCATCCATTCAGTTTCACCTCTGCTGGGGGGTCAAGTCGTTGGGGTGCCATGAATTTCGCATCCATCATAAATCCCAGCTATGAAATGGCGTGAAAAACCAGGTACCAGGCTTTTAACGAGCCAGAAACTATGGCACCCAAAAATCCCAAACCTTAGTCCTGGGCCATATGAGCAAGAAAAGCGCGGGGATTTGACCATGATCAATTGTAGAAAACCAAACGAAATAGTCAGTTGGGTTAACACCCACATTAACATTGATTAAACATTCATTGGCATCATATTGTATAACAAAAGCAACACTTAATGGAAGTTAATGGCATCATCAAATCCGTGCGCTCAAGATGGGGGGTACCTGGAGTGCCCTGGTAGGTGTCTCTTGTAGGTGTCCATTGAATTGGTTCTCCAGCTCTATCGAAACAGATGTATAAGCAGAACAGATGTACATAATTAACGCATATATATATAAATACATACATCTACATCTACACACATATATATATATTATATACATATATATATACATATTTATATATACATATATATATATATACATATATATATATACACATGTATATATATATATAAATATATGTGTATATATATACATACGAACAATCAAATATGTATATATATAATTATGTATACACATGATATCATATTGGCATAATATTTTCATGCAATCTTCAGAAATTCCCTGTGACTTTAGGTGAGCCTGGCGAGCCTGAGTTGGAAGCTGAGCATTTTATGGATCTTTGGGGATCCAGTGGCTGTGTCTGAAAATAGTAGATAAATAATCATAAAATATCAAATATATATGTAGATTTTCTCCCTTAACTATAGATATCCATAGATGTAGCATTTTTTTCAATGGAGTGAATGTTGGAGTTATCTAAGTTGATATATCCAGAGTTATTGGCTATGTACCCTCTGGTAAACTAACATAGCTATGGAAAATCACTATTTTTAATGGGTAAATCCACTATGAATGGTCATTTTCAATAGCTATGTTAGTTTACCAGAGGGTAATCATAGTTATTGGAGTTATGTTCACCAACTCAGCTAACGAACGCCAGGTCAGAGCTGGAAGATGACGTGGTGCAGGAGATGGAAGACTTCCTGGTTGACAATGGCAATCGTAGGGGATACCGAGGGCATGTTTCACTATTCTGGGTAAGTTTCATCACGACCTCACGTCGCGACCGGAACCTGGAATCATGGTTAATAAGGGAAATCATCCCCAAATGGCCGCAAGATTCAGACTAGTGAAATATTATATTTTACCCAGATATGTATGTATCCTCGGACTTACTCATGTATGCATACGTATATGTGTATGCATATATGTATATCTGTGTATATGGGTTTATATACTGTATTGTGATTAATGGATGATGTGTGTGTAAATATATATATATATATATACATACTATATACATATACACATGTAGGGATTGAACCAATCATAACAACTTTGCCGGCCACGGAAAACCCGTGTTGACGAGGGCTGGAACGGGATGGTAGGGGAAGTGTTCGCAAACAGGCGAGCCTTTCAAAGCTGGACATGGCGAGGAATGATTTGCCCATCTTGGGTTTGAAGGATCGGGTAAATTGAATATATAAATCCAATCCTATTTCATATAACCAATATATAAAATGGCTATAAATGGCTTATGGTCATAAGTTCTAAGGAATATATCAATATACATGACATGAGCGGATAAACCAACGACCATTTACCAACTATTTGATCCAAATTCAGGTGACTGACTTTTAGTGGAGCTGTCGTTGCGACGGCCGACAACCCTTGGCATGTTGGCTCCCGAGGTCAAAACTATGGAAACTTCACGAATCGCTTTCCGAGAGCCTGGCTTCCTGGGATGCTGACAGGATAGCGGAGTTGAGATGTTTCAGGGTCCTGAGTTGAAATGTTGGTCAAACTCCGAGATTTCCATGACTTCACATGACTTTACATAACTTCGACTCAGAAGCCATTCTCAGTTCATCGCAGTTCTTCTCCATGCTTCGCTGTGCTTTGTTTGAGGGATGACTGAGGTGCGGAAAAGCAAACTCCTGAAGCACTTCCGGATTGTCGATGGAGGCTGGAGGAGGTAATCGAAGGAAACTAGACAGAAAATGGGTGCCCAAGGATCCCCCATCTTATGATGAAGCAATGGCTGGATTCTCTTCCCAACATTTTCTGATAAAACCACAGAAACTGGACAGATGTTGCTACTCAGGCCCATTTCATGATGCTTTTAACTTCCCAGGGTCGCAGTGTCGTCCACACCTCGCATTGTCAGCACTTTGTGGCCCAAGACTTCTCAGATCAGAGCCCTCTGGTGCGGCCATGGCACGTGGAATCAACCTCTCATGCAGAAGGCTTGAAAAACCCGAGCTCATGGGCGTTGCCGATGACCTTCAGGTCATGGAAGATTCGAAGATGGTTATGTCATGGTTCGTACCAGGCATCAGCCATTTTGGCACCCATGATTTTTTGGGGGAGTGGACTTCGGAAAGACGGCCAGATAGAGAAATTGCCACCTACTGGGATTGCTTGATCTTCACCTGGGAGTTTCCGGACCTTTGCCTTCGACTCACTGCAGAGTAATCCACCCAACTGATCATCAAAAGGCTGGGTTCTTTAGGGCTGTGCAAATCCACCAAGCCACGGTCTCCTTCTTTTTGGGGAAGGGGAGAAGATCTCCAGCATCATATGGTAAAACGGAGAAGAGCCCGAAATATCTGCAAGTGTTCAAAGATAATCATAAATTACTTGGTGGAACCTAGTTGGTATTTAGATTATTTTAGCGTAACTGATTAAATCATGTTAAATCATATTCAATCCTCTTGGGCAGGGTGCCCAGTTTCCAAGGATGCTGCCATGATGCCATGATGGGCAAAATTGGGAAAACAAGCAAGCCTGAGTGTCCAGTTCATGTGCGTGTCAGTGCACATAAAAATCTGGTGTATTGAAGGACTTCTTCCTGCGAAAAATGTTTCTGGATTTCGTCTTTCCAAGATCCTATTTGGGGCACATCTGGTTGGTTTTTCCAATTCTTCATTGTTCATCCATGCCTACTGGTAGTTTAGACTCTGAAAGTTGACTGAGTTGAAAGCACCAGTTCTAGTGTTCAGCCAAGTGTTGCATGCAGCACACCACTCGTTCGAGCTTCTCTTGACACCAAAGGATTCAAGACTAGCTCCCATGTTTTGAGCGACTGCGGGTTTGATCTCAAGGAGGTCACCTAGTTGGTGATAGCCAAGATGGGTCTGTCTGAAAATGAGGCATACCCCCAAATCTATAGCCCTTCAAGGGGGAAAATCGGGGAAAATGATGACTAACCATCAAAATTTGGTTACCCAATTTTCAGACAAACCCAGATATTTTTCTGGGCTGGCTGCAGCAGTCCAAGCAGCAAAGGCACTTGATTTGCAGGACTTTTTTTCGAGAAGATTGGGCTGCCTTGTGCTTCCGCGGTCTGTATGGGGGTTTTCAAATGGTTTGGTTGGTCAATATGTTTCTTTTTATGCCATACATGGAGGAAACAATTGGCTTCACTACAATGATCTCATATTCATTCAGCATTTGATATAATATATATACCTTGAGTCTCCGGTACCTTTCGTTTTTGGGCCTTGTGCTGGAGACCTATTATATTGGTGCTTTCTCAATTTTTTGAGGTCGTTTGATGAAAAAAAGGCCTTTTGCCTTTTGGCCATGCCATGGGTACACAAATCAACAACTGATGGATACTGATGATTCCACCTTAACATCATTCAACAATAAGTATGATACAGAGATAGCATGCTGGGTTTGCCCTGCCCAAGTTCCCGCCATTGTTTGGGCTCTCAGCCCCGGAAGCGAACCTTTTCCATCAGCGCCTGGTCCTCAGCCTCTTCTTGGAAGGGGTTCGGGATGCGGCACCCCAATCCTGATTTGTAAACACAAAGTATGCTTTGACTTTGTAGCGCTCTATTGTTCGTAGGGTTACAGTAGAAGCATGGACACATCTGCTAAGCCGGCTCAAACGGCCAACAAAATCCTCATCACATTCACAATTGTCTTGATTTGGGGATAGGATCCATTCATCCCCCTGCTGAATCCTCTCAGTGATGTCCACGGCATAGTGATGAAAATAGTGGAGCGAAGGTTCCAACATATACCGTCTCAACCCCCGTGAAAAACACAGCTGGGCTATATCACGGTAGCACTCCACAAATTCAAAACAATGTTTCGTCAATGGCTGGGAATCCCTTGTGGCATGGTGCCACACACCCCGGTTGTGTAAGATGCGGAAAAACTCCACAGCAGCAATGCATCCTTGTAGAACTTTCTGTAGGAAAGGCACGTGCCAAGGTTCTAAGGGGTTGGTGATCAAACTGACATTCTGTCGTTCGTTCTGTTCCGGGAGAAAACGACCACGTTGAATAAGAGTGGCCAACCAGCGAATCATCAACATGCAATCAGACCCCTTGAACCTTCCATAGGGATAAGATTTGATCTTTGGCCAGTGGAGCAAAGCTTTGGTGAAATTCTTGATGTTTGCAACGTAGCCTCCATGCCACTCCTTTTTCACAAAATAGTTGAAATCTTGGTAAAATGTCAGCCTGGTTTGAGCCCCCAGCCACAGACCAGTATCCAAGGTCCAAAAATAGGACAATGCCACTGGCCACCCAATGGCCACCGACAGTTTGCTTGAAAATGTGAAATGGATCTTTCCGAAAGATAGCCTGTTTGCTGGAAGCCTGACCAGGAATTTTCAACAGTGGGGATGGGTTTTCATCGGTCCATGGGTCTTCCAAGCCCTCTGACGCTTTCCACCGGGGACGACGATTGAAGTCTTCATAGGGCAGATCATCCAATCCCGCCATGCACTCTGGGCAGATACCCTTTCCAATTCTTTCTGATAGGTTCCTCACTTGTTTTGTTTGGTGTGGGAAAATGTGACCCGTAAGATCAAATAAGATACCCTTGAAAAGTCCCAAATAAAAAGGTTATATAGCCACAAATACCCATAGGATCCATGTATGGTATATATGCTATATAACATTGGGGGTATATATTGATGGTAAATGTTACCATATATAGCATACATGGATCCTATGGGATATAAATAATGGCATAGTTCAAGGGTCATGAAACTTCGAAAGTAATGGGCTGCTTTTGCCAGTGCTGGTGCATCGCCTTTGACGCCAAGGCAAATTGGATACATACCCCGGACACCTTCACAGGCCAGTCTGGCAGTCTCCGTTGCCAGTCGATCCAAAACTTTGTCATAAACGAAGTCAAATTTTTTGGTGTACCACCTTTTGGGAATGATGGTGTAGAGAAACCGGCTGAGTAAAGATGATCCACGTTGATTGTGAAACTGTGATTCCAGCATGTATTGTTTGATCTCTGCATCGGATCTTCCCGACCCATCAGTGAATTTTTTCTCGAACAAGCTAGCAGTTTCAGACCCAAATGCAGTTTGCATATTGAAGACTAGTACTGCTGATTTCCTTAGGCCAGTGCCCTCATCAAGGTGCCAATAGAATGGCACGCAACGTTTCAAGTCTCTAGGGTGCTCTCTGAAAACAAAGTGGTCACCATGAGCTACACGGTAAGCTTCCCAGAATGATTCCAGCAAAACTCCAGATCGTGGGTCTCCAGTGTTAAAGCCACCCAACAACAGATGTGGGTAATCAGCTAGCAGGAATCGAAACCAGGTCTCCAAAGAGATGTAGTGAAGGTACAAGAGTCCAAAGCGCATGCAACTCAAATTCACGGGTATGGCCAACTCATATCGACGAAACAGTGAATGCAAATCCCGTTCTGCATTTTTTAGGTTCTCCTCAGTCAAATTGCAAGCCCTTTGAATGGCAGCAGACACGTGCCAGGCGCCCATCTCCTTGGCCTCTTCCACAGCACTTCGAGCAAACCGTTTGAGGCGGCTTGCGGGAGCCTGAGCTGGCAAGGTATGGGTGCCCCACAGGGATTGGAAACAAAACTATCGTTGAAGTTGGCACCCCAATAAAAACAACATGAAACAATTATAAAAAGGGATCGATCTATATATACATTGGAAGTAAAATACATAAATCTGAGCTTTAGATAAGAAGCCCCATCGGCCAAAGAAAGTGCCAAATTTTTCAGCATCACGCCAGGTTTGTCTTGACCTGGCACCGCCGGTCAATATCTATATTATATTTGGGATTTGTGGCAGGGGTTGTCCCCAGTTACATGTCTGAAAGTCATTCAATCTTGAAGCATTGGTACGGCAAATCACTGAGTGCAACTGAGAGCACCTTTTGTTGAATCCACCACGCTGGATCGATCAAGTCACAATGGACTGGCACTAGTATGTTCCAAAATGGAACCCCCTACAAAACTCAACATGGATGTTTCAATCCACGTTTCTCCCATTGCCAGGGCCACCCCCGTTGGATACGTATGGATGATACAAATAATGTGTTCAAGGGATCTATACAGTCAAGGCTGCAACCGCCTGATATGGACCTGGTTCTATAGTATAGGCACAAAAATATAGCTTACATAATATCACAGAAAGATATATCTGCAGCGAATGGTTTCTCCCCAAATATCTTGGGATTTATAGTTGATACACTACTCCAGTGATGGTGCCATGATTTCAGATGCAAAGGATTACAAACGATAACAATTATGATTCATGTTGTTTCCCAAATTTAGGTACCCCCCGATGAAAAGATTATATGATGGATATAAAAAGGATCATCAAACAAAAACATAATCGATATCCGTCCTTTGGTATATCTTTGATTCAGAATTATTGAGACAATGGTTACCCTGGGGGTGTACCCACGGGAGCATGATCACATCACTCTTTGGGAACTCGTGCGCCCCGCTTTGGCGCAGCCTTGGGCGAGGCATCGGCTTTTGCCTTCGCCTTGGCCTTTGCCTTGGCTTTCCCAGTAGCCGCCTTAGCCTTGGGAATGGGAATGGATTTCGAACGGGCCTCCATCGTCACGGACTCCTGGGCCCTCAGTCGCGCAGCGACGGTTCCTAGATATGTTTGGTACAAAAAAAAAGGGTTGCTCTGTTTCCAGTCCATGGGATGTTCCTACATTTGAAGTCACAACCATATATATACCTTTTTAAGATGGGTCTTTTTGAGTGAGGAAACCCATGGCACCCCTGACATTCAAAAACCCCACACATGCTTCTGGGGCCCCGGCAATTTCATGGCATCCTTGTACAAAGCCATCAGAATTTTCTCTTGCCTTGGCATCATTTGACAAGGAGATTGCATGATGACATCCATTGGAAATTGAAAAGGGGCAGGGACCATATTTATATGGACTATATCATGCGAAGCATTTGCAATCATTTCAATTCATCATAAACACAGACGTTGCAAACCAGATAAACATATAATAAAACAAATGCAGAAGGGGTACGCATCATCATAACCCTCAACGGCCCCAGAAGAGTAGACATTGTTGATCTCTGACTGCTTTTTCTCCAAGTTGTCAGAAAGGTCGCCAAGCTTCATGATGAACCTGGGAGAAGATGGACTAAGATTTTTACGATGACATCTTTAACATTCAAGCCGGTTGTGGTGTATGACAAGTTATATTTGTATAAGCCAAGAAACGCCTTGTGGGTCGAATTTTGGGAATCATCCGGAATAGCCTCATACTTGCTCTTCACTTCCTGGGCTAGGGATTCACTACAGCAAACCCAAGGTCATATAGTTATTCCCCTTTGATGTCAACTTAACATAGATTTTGTTTGTGGAAAAAATGAAACATATGTGGCAAAGCAGATGAATAGGCAAGCATCGGAAATCTTACCAATCCTTTTTGTAATCCCCTCCATGTATTTCAGGATGACACTAGATGCCTTCTGGTTCTTCTGGATTTGGGGCAAGATCTGTTCTTTACCATGGCGTTGGCTATCACCAGGGCTGGGGCCACCACTCCCACTGCTAGGCAAGCCTAGCAGGGCGACAAGAAAAAGGGTATACAGGATTTAGAAGACAAACCCCGTGGATCTTATAACACTAAGATCTTGTTCTGGATTCTATTGAAGGGTGGTGAAGGTTTACAAAAGGTACTGCATCCTAACAGCACGCCTGACTGCACATCCCGCACTTCACTCATGTCCAGTGCCACCGGTGCTGAGGCACACATCAGCACATCTTCCGCCGACTGCTCAGTTTCATACTGGCTGGTTTCGCGGGTGCTCTTGGCACGGAGGGATTCCCACTCGGCTTCGATATCATCTTCAACCCAGTACTGGGTTTTGGACTCGTACTTGTCCCACCTGGGTGGGTGGGACTGGTGTAAAAGAATGGTTATCCATGATTCACCAAGGCTTGCTTAACATTGAAATGAACCAAGTGCAATCCAGGGGCTTGGTATGGTTTGGGTGAGCTTCGCAATATTCCTTGATCGCTTTGATCCGCTGCCTCAGGTGGCTGATGTTTTCAAACGAGTAATTATATAAGTCTGGGGAAAACCATGTACAGTAATAAAACCCATTATATAAATCCATTGAATCTTGGGATATCTTGGGTAGGGGCAGTATAAGGACAAACAAAAAATGCATGGAATCTAAATAGGCTACTATGTCAAAAAATGAAACCAAGCTTCGGGGTCATTTTCAAAGTGTCCCTCATCTTGTCCTCGGTTGCCCACTGAGCCTTGACTTTGACTTTGACCTGTTGGCGATTCTCCACGTCAATAGTGACAACCTTGATGAAAGTAGCCTGCACGGGCCAGGAGAAGTGGTTGGACAATATAACTAACATGCAGTTGGATATAGTTGGATTATATATTGGTCTTAGATAATATGGCCAACCCAGAGCATAGTGATATCCCGTACCCCCATTGAACCAATCAAGGGTTTGCTGCTGTGGGAGCTATGTAAACAAAGCAACACAAATAATTTGGATGCCGATTGATTTTTACATACTTAGTTTGGAAACCATATGGTGGTGCTGGTAGACATTTACCTATCGGTTTCTTCCAGGCCTTATCGAAGTTATGAGTCGCAAACAATTCTTGGAGACGCTGTCGGCTAGTGCCACCTTTCTTCCACTCATTGTGAATCTCTTCAGGGACTTGCAAATTCCTGGGAATTCGGTTGGACCGGTGATTTACCAACCCAGGGCCACAAAAAGAAATGGTATATATAACCTAGCCTTCGATAAGACATTTACCAATGCGAACTCAAGGGCCCAAAACTTATACGTGTTCAAAATCTTTCTGCATACAAATGGAATTTGTTTTTCTTGGTCATTAACCCCCTCTATACCAGCCATGTCTCCCAGCGGAATTTCTGCTGCAAATCCGGGCAAGGCGTTTGCGGGCAGCTTCATCACTGGCCGCAGGTGCATTTGCCCCATCATCCCCTGATTGTTCCTGTGACCTCTGGTTGAGGGACAACTGGTTGAGCTTCTCGTTCAACTCCTCTACCTGTTTCTCTAGGGCAATCTTTTCATCTTCCAACTCTTGGTTCCGTTGTTTCAAACAAGCAACATCATCCAAAGAAGGAGCCCTGGTTGCCCCTGTGTCCGGTTGACTTGGAACAGGTGAAGCTTCTGGTTGGAACAAGCTCCTGGGTTCGGGTCCCTCAGCACGTGCTTTCTTCACAATTTTCCCTGGGGTAGTGGATGATGTCTCAGTGGCAATAGACTTACTTCCACTTCCAAAAATTGGTTGGGAATTTGGTGCCGGTGGGGTCCGTTTGGTTTCATCAGCATCCGGGCCAACGGGCATAGCAGCACGCCGTTCTTGAAGCTCCTGCTGGCAGTTGCCACCCCGATGATCCCATCTTTGGCTCCCACACTTTATCTTTTAAGCCATGGGGTAAATATAGTATGTCGATCTGTCAGTTAGTAATTCATGATATATATATAGTCTCCACTAGATTACCACATATATATATATATAGTTGATATATATATATATAAGCAAAATATCGTACTTAAGAATGCCAGCAACACTGCGTCATAGGCACTCAAAGGTGACAAGTGCAAACTGGTCAACAGAATTCAACTGATGCGTATAAGATAATTAGGTTTGTTGTGATGGCATTTCTTGATTCATTTACATTCGGACAAGTTGGAGTAAATATGCAAAATCCAATAAACATACAACATGGCAAACACAATCCCCAAAAGAAATCTGGGTCCTTAAGTTCATCTTCCATGGCTTGTGTATCCGGTTCCAACTTTACCTGCTGGTCCTTCAACACCTGGTTTCCTTCGGCCAGACTGGCCGAACTCCAGGCTTGGGACTGAAGCTTTTCCGCCATGGATGCTGAAAAGCAAAGGCCCACACGGAACTCCACACGGGCTCACTGGTGAAGTCTCTTGAATGTAAAATCGTCGATATATATATATACGTAGATTGAGACCAGCATTAACACACATATTTTTGGAAGGGGCATGTCAGCATACCTACAGAAGCTATGAAAGCATCCGTGGAAACATCATACGCAATATAGCAAGATTTTTCTTTCAGTTCTCTAGTTCGGAGCGAATGCAAGGCAGCCAAAAAATAGCGTTATCACACTATTGGCCGCTACAATTATACATCTTAATTCACGTTAACTGCACTGGAAACAACCCTTCTCGGCGGCAATAAGATTCTGTACACAACATAGGTGAAATGGGGACCGTTCTCCACAGAAGGTGTTTCACCTCCAGGCCTGTCATTCCGGCAGCCTGGTGTGTCCTTAAAAATCCGAATTAAGGCACTCTCTAACATACCTGCACAGAAGGATGTTTCACATACTGCTAAGATTTTCATTCCCAGCCAGCCCTCAATTTTGTCAAAGGCATAGCCATATCGTGAGTGATTCCACCGTTTGATGGGATTTGATGTTATGCCCACTTTGAACACAGCCGGGTGTTTCTTGAACAACGATCGAACACACCCCTCTGCATGAGACAGCACGGTGCTTGCGCTAGCATTGGGGGATTTTGGCAAATCAAACCAGAACCATTCCTCTAGCATTTTGTGTTTCATGTAGAGCTGGTAGAATTTCTTGCCAAAGTCGCGGAAGCTGCGACACATCCTCTCTAAGACAGCTGACCCATGTCTGGCTGGGCCAGGCTTGCAGTAAGTCAGATCGTGGACGATGCGAAGCACCAGGCAATGTGGGCAATGGCTTGGGCGTCTTCAGAATTGAAATTTCCATCTCAACCTGAAGTAACTGTTCTCTAAGTTTGGCATTCTCAGTCTGAAGCTGTTTGATTTTGTTGCACTCACCTTCACCAGAAATCAGCGTAGCTTCAAGACCATCGGTTTCAATATCTGTTTCCCATAAGATGGAGGCTAGGGATCGCAAACGCTTCGCCATTGCACACAACTACCCAGTCTACAGGCCAAATACCTACTGAGTTGTGATCTTTTCTGTGCTGCACCCAACCTTAAAGTCAAGAGTATTTATACTACCAATATTGCCAATAGCTTTGGTTCTGGATCAATGTTGGATAATGATATATATATACTTACTATACTCATGCTTGTGCCTGCGTGTGTGTGTGTGTTAAAACATTTGTTGATATTCCCAAACATCCTGAACATCAAAGCAGCCACAGTATATATAATATGTATATATATATATATATGTTTTCTTGAGATGCCCCTCTTATACATTTTTGAATATTTTTTGGAAACACCAGAAAAATGAAAAATGGCACCAGAAAAGGGTTATGAAATCTGATGAATGAGCATCACAGTGGCCAAGAACATCAACAATTTTACAAAACCACCCATACGGTATTAATGACATGTTTCCCCAATGCATTAAAAGTAGGCTTGCTTACCCAGAAGCAACTATGGTTCTTCATTTTTTTGACACGCCCTTTTTATTTTTTGGGGTGGTCCAAAGGGTTGTGGAATTGATGTCATTGCATCACGTTATTACTGTCCATTGAAACTTGAATTTGTTCCAGGTTCCAAGGCATCTACAATTATTTTCTATGATGTGCGATTTGAAAAAACAATATTGGTAATACCCAACGCCCCAAAATTAATCTTTCAATGCCACAGAACCCACTGGCTATACCATCCACTGCCCCAAAGCAATCTAAGCGTCTAAATCCCACAACTCTCAAAGGTACAGGTGCATAGATCTGTTGAACCTCGACCCAGTTTATTTGTGGTACAAGGGACCAACCACAACATGCCATAAGGGTTCTGCAAACACCACCCAACATCACAACCCGGGGTCAATCTGGGGGATTGGGCGGACGGCCGGGCGGACGGTCGGACGGACGGTCGGACGGACGGACGGACGGTCGGACGGACGGTCGGACGGACGGCCAAAATTCAAAAAAAAGTACGCTTTGTAAAAAACAATACTTTTGCTTCGGACGGGTCCGGATCGGACGGCTTTTTCCATCCTTTGGACGCCGATTTCCGGCCTTTGGACGCCATCCACCTATCCCTGAAAATAAAAAAGGTCGCTTTAGAAAAAAAAGGCCTTGGACGTTTGGACGGACGCAGGAAATCCTCTATTCAATGGGTTTTTAAACTTGCAGATTAAAATCTGTTTGGGGCTGCTTGGGCCCTTTTGAAAATCACAACTCAGTTGGAAGAAGGGGCCTCCACTCAGCTGGGATGTTCAGCAATTTGCTGCCACGAAGATAAATGATCACATCATTTAGGGAGGCATCGTTCCAGTCATCTCCCCAAGGAAGCTGGGCATAGAGGTCTCTCAAGTCAGAAAACTGGTCTACCTGGGTAGAGAAGCTCAAGATAACAAACATTTCCCCAATTTCAAATCCCCAAATACACCAAGAATTGTAACTCATCACAATATGGTTATATTTACCCAGGGTAATCCCCATAATGAAGTTCTCCATTTTAACACAAACCAGGGCACATCAGGAATTTGATCCCTTGCCTCCTGCTTTGCCAAATCATTGGCCTGCAGGATATGCCGAGCATAGCACCACGTGTAAAGCCTGGGACCCACTGTTGGGGCGCTAAGATGGCTGGATGGGAGCGCAGGGCATATTTTCTTTGCTTGTAACTTCCCCCACATCATGAGCCCATGATTCTTGATACCCCCCAAGCACTACATGATAGCAAACCTATTGTGGTTCCTTCCAAAGGCATCTTGATATCCCCTGTTGTTATGGGTCGGTTTCCAAATATCATCCAGAAACAAAAGGTGGGAAGTAAACAGGATTTAGAACAAACTGATTTACTTGAAGCTCACCCCGATATCTTTCAACATATATATACACACTTTAGTAATTATATATATCCTATATTCACAGGATTAAATATGTTTAACGTAATATGGGACCATCTTGTGAAACCAATCCACCTCTGGGATTTCAAGACTTTGGGTTCGTTAGAGACCAAATTATTTTGGACAGCCCTTTGAAGCATAGATATAGCGACCATCAGAAATGGAAAAGAAAAGCGTTCTAGCAATTCCCGAGATTTATTCACACTGGGAACACTATTCGAATTATGACACCCAAAACAATATGAACAGCAAAGGGGGTAGTGCCAGAAGCTCAAATCTCAGGAATTGCTAGGATCTAGACGAGGGTCTGAGTTTTCTTCAACGACGCATTCCCCTTAAACCTTTTTTTGCCTTCCTTGTTGAAATACGTGTCGGTCGTTTCAATCTGGCTCCGGAGCTGGTGCTTTTTCATTCTCGCAGCGAAGGAGAACAAAGAAATCCATCGGGAGTTGGAAAACAATATTGTTCTCTTCGGAGTTGGATGTTGCAGGGCTCTCATCCAAAATAGCTGTCGAAACATCTTAGTGCCAAATTGGGAATCAAAACCCCACTGGAGGAGCCCAACCCCAAAAGACCCCTAAAGATATGTATGTGGAGGGTATGTTTCTTGGTGGTATTGAGCATTTCTAACAGCAACATCGTTGAGAAAAAATCCAGTGAAATCAAGAAGTGAGGTAAAAATTGCTAAGAATCCATCCCAGGGACTCTCATATTCAACCTTTCCAAAAGGTCTAGAAGCCACACCATTCGCTCATGAAGCATGATTAATGTACTTGATGGTTGCTCTATCCAATACGTCCCAAGCATCGCCACGTTGATCAAGATCAACAATACCAACCTGGGTCCAGACCCCAAATTTCCCTACACGGATGGTAACCCCAGATTACTAATCCAGTTCAAGTGGGAACATTATATTTAATCATTAAACCCAAATCCTCAGTGATCTTGCCCATAGTCAAAATAGTTACGCTTGGTAAGAATTACCAAGGGAAAATCCTGAGTATAACCCCACATATTTTTCCGCTTATTCACCACAATCACAACTCTTATGTATAACCCCATAGTGCAGTAAAAAGACCGGCTCACCATCTTGTTTGCCAACAATACCGACTGGTATTCAGTGCACCCCATTGGGGTGAGGAAACTCCTCTTAGTTGATCCTCGTGATGTGGCTACCCAGCTCGAACAACAGACCCCATAGGTTCCCATCACCTCTCCATAGTCGCCATCCAAAAGGGATTTCGCAGCCAACCTTGGCTGAGGCTGGCGTGGCATTTGGGACTTTGCTGATGCAGGATTGTGGAGGCCAGATATCTGAACATGGTTCACCATCTGCATGGGAAGATGTGGGAAGTCAAGAATCCACTGCTATCCACCAGCACTTTTGAGGTTTTCAGGGCACCCAAGGCGTGTATCCAGGCTATACCTCTTAAAACATGGATTACACATATAATATAATGAAAATAATGGCACCATGCATGCATATTTAAAATTCTATTTGGATGAAGAAACGCAAAGCCGGCATCTTCGTTGATGTCAAAACAATGGCTATGACTGCTGTAGACTATGTCCAGTGCTACAGCCTTTTGACCAGCTTGTCGGGCCATCCGGGCAATGCGCCCAGCCCCAGCGAACATATCAACCACCTCCACATGGCTGCCAAAAGTGAAGATAGATGGATCTAGCCAGGAAATGAGGAGCACCACCGTGATAAGTCCCTGGGATGGCCCGTGTCGAGAGCAAATACATCGCAAGGGTTGTCCCCCATAATATTTGCCACAAACAATTCCATACATAACCAAAATATAATAAACATAACCAAAATCCGACTTGGGCCCTTAAAGTGTTGAATCAAATGTTGTTATGTGAGAAATTAATTCCATTGGTTTTGACAAGACTCTTTTGGAGCCTTTAGAGCAAAGAGGTTTCTGACGACCATGTCGAAGCCAGCCCGGGAGACCATGGCAACCGAAAACTCACAGGCTAATCACCCAGGGAACCCTGAAATTTTGGTGTCTTTCAAAAGTTGGCGGCATCAGGAATGCAATGGTATCAAATGGCATTATATAGTGATTTTCGTTTTGTCTTAAAATGCATATTGCAATTGCATGTGACTGATCCACACTTTCATTGGGGACCCGCAATCATGCCAGTTGTGGCCTCTGTCTGTGGCCAGGCCGTGACGGATGAACCAGGACCGTCCGGCCTCAGCAGTGATGGGCCATAGAGGCATGGGATCAATGTGGATAAGCTGCTGGGATACTGCTGGGTTTCGAAAAGAATGGAAAGCATCATCCCATCTACAAAATCGAAATAATAAAGTGTGATTATCTAATGTTTGGGGACCTGCCGTTTCAACACCAAAATTCATATAAATGGGTGGAAGTCATGAAGGCTTCCTGTCAGGTGTACACCATAATGAAATAACAATACTTTATTGGGATTTGGGGGCACCCCTATTTTGTGACATTCCCCCAAAAAATTGGGTCGACCAGCAATCCTGTTATATACACATGTTTTAAACCTCTCGAAGTTCGCACACTGAAGATACCGACCACGTAAAGCCACACCCTAAATTTGTGCAGCGTAATGTGGAGCAATGAATTGCTCAAATTAGCACTCTGAAAAGTCGACGTTGTGAAGGATGTCCACAGCAGACCCCAAGCCAAACGATCAACTATATAAATTAAGATGAGAACAATTCAGATTTGAAAGTCTAACAAGCTGAAATGGCTATTGATGGTTATGTAAAATAACTTTGGGTTACCTAGACCTAGTTTTCTTTCCCAGTATCGTTGTGACCTAGGCTCCACCGTGTTCAGACATCAGCGTCGGCACCCCATTCAAACGACATGTCAGTCATTTGATGCCCCTAAGCGGAAAACACAGCTTAGTCCATAGCACGTTTGTGCTGTTTCAGCTGCTGGACATCGGTTTTGATATCACGCCACCTCAGCACCACAGACTCCTTGGTGAAGTCACCACCGTGCAGGTCAATCAGCTTAGCCTCAGAATGAACCGTGAGTGAGGGTGGCCAGAACCCAACACAAAACCACCCACAGCAAAAGACGAGGATTGGATACTGACCTGCAATGATTTGCCCACAACATGTCCAGTCCAGGCACAATTTCCTGAATCTTTTCCAATACCGTCCGCATAGAACAAGCCGTGGGGCTAGGGCCACTAAGATAGAAGGCCTGTTGGCATGTCCACCCGGGAGCTAGCATATCCCAATGAAATTTCTGAAAAACTTGGAAACAAAAAATGCAATCACTGGGGCCAGCCTGGCTGGTTCCAGCTTCCGTCGTAACCTTCAATCCTGCAGCTGCCCTGGACCAATAGGGAACAACGGTGGAATGGTCGAAGGTCTGAATGCCTTTTTTCATGGATTCCTTGTCATCCTCCGAAAGCACGACTTGGGGTTTGGCCTTGGCGGCCTTGGGAGGTGTTGGTTTGCTCTGCTCAGGCTGCTCGTGCTTGCGCGGGGGGGTGACCAGGTCTGTCTCTTCTTCACCCTTCTTGGTCTTGGGGGCCCGTTTTTTGCGGGGCGCAGGTACAGCATCCTCCTTCCCCTCAACCTCAGGTTCTGCCTGCTTTGTGTCAGGTGCCTTTCTCTTGCTGCTGGCTGATGCTGAAGCTGCTCGACCCTTCCTCTCCCGTGTCTTCTTAGTTGGTGGATCATGTTGGGGATCCTCAGCAACACTCTGGCTCTTGGGTTCTTTGGATCGTTTCGCTCTGCTCTTGGGAATCTTGGGGGCTGGCTCATCCCCTTCAGTCTCAACACTTTTTTTGGCACTACGGCCCCGCCCACGACCCTTTCCCTTTCCCTTTCCACGCCCACGCCCACGCCCTTTAGCAGCTGGAGAGTCACCACGGCTGGCCATGAGCTGGTCACGTCGGCGAAGGACATCTGGCTCAGGCGAACAGGGTGCAGAGTCACCCGGACTTGGCACGTCCTGGTTCCTAGCTTCCACCTCCATCATCATTTCGTGACTGGATTCATTGGGTTCAATCTCATCACGGGACACAGATGAATCAAGCTCAGTGGGAGCAACATCATTCTTGGGGTCGACCTGGGGTTCTTCTCCTAACTCCAAAGCCGGCAAGCTCTCAAGCTCCGTAGGCGAACAAAGAGATTCCGGTGCTTCCTGCAGGCCAGGTTTGCTAGAGGCAAAGGGGTTGAAGTTCAACAGGTTGAAACGGAAAGGTGAAGAAATAACAAACTTAAATACATTAGGTAAAGCATGGCTTGTGGAACACAAATGGGCAATCCCAAAAATCTGTCCTGGGTATCATCCAGAATGACAATGGGCACTTCAGAAGTCACCTCCTAAGTTGGCATTAAACCCCAACTCTTGGACCCCAACCTTTCTAGGCCATGGGCTTCTACAAGCAAATGCAATAGCTTGGATATGTTGTAACTCATACAATGCAATGCGCCCCCAGACTGTTGCGTTCTCCTACCCCAGTCAAGCCACAGCAGCACTGGCTGATCCTTTGCGCTTTGCAAGCTCTTGCCTGAGATGGGGTTAATGCGGGTTCCAAAGCGAGAATCGGCTAGAACAACATATTCTACCAACAACCAACTTTGGATATATATATATATATAACGGAATTGATACATGTATCGTGCATCCAGTGCAGCCTAATCACTGCAAGAACCTGATCCGTTCTTCAACCTCACTGTCCGAAGCCCTCACCGGGTCCACACGGCAAGACCACAAGGAAACCCCTGAAGGCATAGGCTGGGAATCACCTGGGACATCGGGCGATGACGGGACAATGCCGTTGGGTTCAAAGGGCAAGGTGTCCAAAGTTGACGGATCAACAGGCCCACTGGAAGTGTGATGCACAGCATCAACTTCCACTGGGAGGTCTGAAGTAGGCTCTTCTTCCTCAAGAGAATCCCATGAGTCAACAACTATCTCATCGGGCTCATCATCATCGGGGAAAAACGGGTCATATTCCAAGGACGGCAGTTCCAAATCATCTCCAGCAACGGCATCATCATCTCCACCATCATTTGCCAATGGGGCTACTGCCAATGCCTCTGGGCGTTCGGCAAGTGGCTCCTGCAAGGAGGATGTCAGTTGGGCTTTAGTGACATGAACATACAGGAGGCTACAAACGAATCAGATATGGGACAAAGATTTCAATCATGAATGGTGAAAAGGAGGTTGCAGTACCTCATTCGGCTCTGCACGATGGATGTCCCAAGCGTCCCGGAAGATATCAAGAAGTTGTGAGACTTCAACATCCTCAGGTCAACATCTAAAAAGGGGTTAGCAAAGGAAGAGGCACTGAAGGTGTCAAGAGCAGCAACTATCATGTAAATTACACTGCCCTGAAAGCAGGGCTTAAAACAAATTCAGCTAAAATTCCCGTGGCTCACGCTCCAAACGCAAAGACCGCAAAGTATGACTGATTAGCTTCCTCACACCCCATGCGTCAGCTTGCATCTGAATGGGGCTGGGCTTTGTCTCAAGGCCTCCAACTGACATCAGCGCCCAGAAAAGCTTCACCTGACCGGGGGCTCCAAGCAAATGCCGTGCAAGGCCGGCTTGTAACTATAACAGCAATGTAAATTGACCCTGTAACCCCATTAATTTTGAGCTAATATAAACATGCATGCAGGTGTAAAAGATAAATATGGTACACATGGTGTGGAAGCTCCAACCCTGGCAGGACTACAAAGTGGCCTGGGCAAGCAACGCTGGAAGAGGCGGGGTCCGTCCCCCGCCAACTGCTTCATAATCGAAGATTTCCACCCACAGCTTGGCAGTGGCCAGGAGCACCGGCAGATTCATTTGGATGGCTTTCCTAAGTCAAGGGATGCCATGTATATACATCATTCTAGAATTCATGGAATTCACGAAGGTCTTACAACCAAGAATGAAACATCTTTCAATTTGTTTGAATGTGCAATTTATACTTTAACCATTTGTAGCTTCCATCATGTGACCATGGGCATTTTGAGACACTATGGGCTCTATAATATTGATAAGATGAGCTTCATCGATGGAATTCCAACGGCTTTTGGATTCGGCCACTTCACAAGCTGGCCATGCTCACGCGCACTGTGCCGAATAAAAGCTTCCGCCTCCCAAGTCTCTGCCAGGCCTTCGAGTTGGATAGCAGCCATTGCGGAGTGAGGTGCGTGTCAAAGGCTGTGGGCCACAAATCTTGAAGTTCATGGGTTTATTGCCGACCATGATTAGGACATGGCCCAACTATCGCAAATATATTTAGCAGAAAACATAGTGTCATTGAATCAACCCATTTTCAGGGCCAAACCACACCACAAGTCAGCAGCACTTGGGCCCACGGCCATGTTGATGAGCTGATGATCACATCCAAGCTATGGTCCCGACCTGCGCAGGGAGAGTTGTCCGTTGAAAAAAAAACATTTAATTCAAGGAGCAAAGGATTGGAGAGAGCCAGCATTTTATTTTTCCATTCACCATATAGCTTGAATGCCCCAAAGCGGGCTCTAAAGCTGGCCATTTGGCACCAACTAGCGGGAAATATCCTAAGCTTCAGACAACGAGCTCGAACTCTCCTTAGGGGGCTATGCAGGATCTGAACCAAGGACTACCCAGAATTCATTTACAACACATATGCATGCACGAGTTGAAAAATAACAATTCCAATCAACCAAAGGCAACTGAGCCACACTGATGTTTTCTCCTGAAGCGGGTAAAGGTTGTTTATATGTTGACCCTCGAACCCTTTATTTTTAGTGGTTATCATTGAACATGACATTGTCCCAGTAAAGATAAGAAGTGATATGATATGATTATACAAACCAATATCTATAGATTGGCATGGATAGTGCTGTATAATGGTCCTTGTAGGTGACGCTTGGTGAGCTCTCGAACCATGCCAGCATTGTCAAAATTCTGAATCAATGTGAGCACAGAGTCCAGAGACAATTCTCCTGCCTGAAACTTTTGCGTGGCTGGCGATTATTTTGGGTAAAGGTGCTTGATGGTGCTTGCAAACATGGTCCCAATTTTGTGGTGAAACATGGTGGGAAGTCCTTGGGCGCATACATGATTTTCAGCACTTCAACCCAAAAGTCATCTGGGAAGTCATGCAAGCCTCACAGAGTTAGAAGAGGCATTCAAACATATTTGAATTGAAACTGGTAAGCCTTCATGGACACAAAAGGTAGGTATAGTTTGTTTCCCACCTCGGGAAATCATCTCCTGTTTGATGGAATCGTTCTTTTCCAGGAAAGCATTCATGCTTACGGCACTGGTGGCTATATTGCAAAATATGAAGCTGAAAACTTTGAGCCAATCTAAGTGAAGGTATATACAGAGTCAATGCTTGACACTCAGCCCAAGAAATGCAGCACCACAATGCCCTCACCCGTTCTAAGTGCAGAAACAAAAGCGTACATGCACGGAAAAGGGGGTGCGAACCTTGTCACTGGAAAGATGGGAGGCCATGCGGGACCTTTGGAGATCCTTTGATATCTCTTGAACCACGTGCCGGCTGGAATGGGGCCAGCCGAGAGTTTGATCGAATTTGGCGACCAGGTGAATTCTTTGATTACTGGGTTACTTGGCATATATCGTAAGAAGTGAAATCACATCATATCAATTGAAACCAGATCGTATCCCATCAAGACTATTTAAGAAACATCATGGCAACATCATATAAGAAGAAATCACATCAAATACAATAACCAACATGTATGGCAAATCTTACTTCATATAACAATGAAGTAGATGCTCTCTTGGGGCCATATCAACAAGATTAAGAAAAAGGGTCGCTTTACAGAACAAGGTCCTTTATTAAAAGAATGCCATTCTTTTGAATTACCCCATAAACTAAGGGTCGTTCGAGGGTCAAGGTATATATATATATATCTATACACATTATAAATAGTCACATCCTGGAATAAAAACAAGCAAAAACAATGAGAGTGGCATTGGTCTGACGCTGCATCAATCGACCTTCCAGCCGGGCCTAGGGAGCCATCTTTGATTCTTCACCCGGTCACCCGGTCACCCGGTCACCCGGTCACCCATTTTGGTATGTTTCTTTTGGTCAGATTCCGAATTGTGTTGCCGAAGTTCCATAACAAATGTTGGTGAAGTATGGTGAAGTCACTATTTCAACTTTTGTTGCTAAAACACCCAATTTTCTTGGTGAAATCCCTATTCAGTGTCCTGAGTTGCACGGTTTTTCCAGCCCATTTCGGGCAATCCTTCGGTGTATCGCCAGATGGTCGGCAATTTGTCGAACTTCCACTAGACCATCCTCGACGCACTGCGGAGGCGTGGGGGAAATCTGTAGGATGGTGGTGGAATGGCCGCCAGTCTGAAATCAGGGTGCCCTAAATTCATTGGCTGAATCACCATTTTCCTATTGAGACACAAATTAGAATATATATATATATTAAAATAATGGTATACTATTGTATACTCATACTCCATCTTCAGACAAAGCCAAATCGCCAAATCACAGAAATCACCGAATAAACATGTTGGTCTCTTTTTCGATGGTCAGCTGCTTGGATGTTTGGGAACACCGAAAAAGAGATCCCAGGTGACTGAATCATAAAATTTCGTGACAGGAATCTCACCATCAAAATCAATTTACATGGGCTATAGGATTGCGAGGATTGATGATATAGGATAGATGCGTGGGTATGTATGTATACTGTACATGTGTATATATTATGTATATATATATATATATACATACACATATATATATATATATAATATGGACATGTATGTATAGGACAAAACAATGGAGATCCATAAAAACAGTGGACGTCAACATAATACTTTAGATGTGTTTGCAGCCTCCGTATCTATATGAAAAGTATGCAATTTGCAAGGTGAATTTATGCACCTGATCACGACGTCACCGCACATCATGGTTTGTAAGAGGTACGACCATAAAATCCCACGCATTTCAGGGTCACGATCAGAAATACAGCCATCACAAGCCCCAAAAAGATCAGGATTTTGTAGGATTTTGGCAAAATCGTCCACACTTTCAAAGATTTGACTCAACTATCTCAACTGCTAAGCTACTAAACTAAGTAACTAGTGGTCAATAACTAGTGACCTTTTTTTAGATCGCATGATAAATCGCTAATCGTTCGCCAGGAGTCGGTGGAGGCGGGATTCACCCAGCACTTGGATCACTTGGCCATGGGGGATCCCCAGCTCAGCTGGATGGTTTACCCTCTGGTAAACATACAAAAAACTATGGAAAATCATCATTTTTCATGGGAAAATCCACTATAAATGGGCTATTTTCTATAGCTATGTTAAATTACCAGAGGGTATTTCATGGAAAAAGTGGATGAGTGGATGATGAAGTCATGGGTACCATGACTGAGGGGAAACATCCCACTGTGGGGATATAATCTTACTCTAAGTTACGGTAATTAAGAATATATATAATATGACGAGCCCATATTTTTAGAGGGAAAATGATGATTCACTGCTAGATCTTTAAGGGGTTTTGGAACATTTTCAGGCATCCCAGCTTGAAAGCCATCATTTTCTTTGGACATCAAAGGAACAAAGGCTGGACAGAATGGCTGAAAGAGCTTTGCGGATCAAGCATTTTTGCCCAGTTGGTACGTCTCTCATTAGATTGTTTGTACCTGCACAATGTTGGTTTGCTCGGCTGACTAAAATATATACATATGATATCTATCTATCTCTCTCTCTCTATATATATCATTAAACCGTACTAAACCCATACAAAACATTCTTCATTCCAGTGTATTTTGTTGTTGAAATCTTTTTCAGGATCCAGGGTTTCTTGCTGGGAAATGTCTTTCCCATGAACTACAGAGAGTTGCTAAAGTCGTGCCCAGATTAGTGGGAATCGTTGAAAATAGCTTGGGAGCACTTGATTTTCAAAAGTCGTGCCTTTTTGTGAATCGCATAGGAAATGCATGATCTTCTTGTTTTCATGTTTGGATTTATGATTTTATATAAATCCTGCGTTGAGGTGGTGTTTGGCATGTCCGTTCAAAACTTCACATCTGAGTTACTTAAGACTTGGTCGTTGAAGTTGGTGGTGTTTTGATCAATTTCATATTTCAAGTTGTAAATTTCAGGAACTCTGCTTTGTGCGTAGCCGTTTCTTCCTTTGTGCTCAACATACACTTTGAGTCTCATGTTGTTGAGCCATCAGCCGGGGAGTGGCCTTTCCCAGGCAAAAATTTGACGTCGCTTGGACGTCGTTCGGGCGTCGTTCTGACGTCTTTTTTTCTACTGTATATCATATCCCTTATCTCACACTTCACTTTTAGATTCACTATTCATGTTACAACAAGCCATTATCAAAATCGATCCATCAGCGGCTTGCTCTGCCGCCCATGCAACTCAAAACCCAACACTTCCTATAGGTTTAAAATCTTTGAAACTTCCGCCACCGCCTTGTGCCGTAATGCTGGTATCGGTTAATCAAAATGAAGCAAAGATTTCCGCTGCATTTAGATGGTGATTTGGGTTGCAGGCATGACTCAGCATGACATAGGCATGACTTCCTGGAAACTGCATTTAGATGGGGGAAAGCAGATTTTCAGCACACTGGCGTGACTTAGGCATGAGTTTCGCGCTTTCCTGTAGTATATCTATGCAATCAAAAGACACCTACTTTGTTGCATGCCAAATCTGCAAATGCTACAGATCTAGCCACAGTCTCCATCCTTTTCCGGTGAAGCCAGTTTTGGTTCCCCTTATATAAATATCCCATGATTCCCTTGGTCCTCGAGTAAAATCACCAACAACCAAGTTACAACCAAGTTATATAGACGGGAATACTACCAAATTGGTGCTTGCTATAGATGGGAAACCCATTGAAAGTCACCAAATAGGCGCTGGTCTTGCGGTTTTTTCTTTTGATAATCACCATTTTCAAACGGTGATAATCTCATTAAAAGTTTCAACTGGTGCTGGACAATCACCAGCCAGGAAGCGACTAGGGATGCACCCGGGCCGGAGGTGCGGATCCATTCTCAGATGGCGAAATGGGCCCAGAATGGCAATAATGATCATGATCATGATTTGGGTGTTTCCCAAAATAGGGGTAGCCCCATTTTTCATCCATTTTTCTTTGGGATTTTTGCTAAGACATCTATTTTTTCTAATATGGCAATCTCTGATTGACAAAAATCTGGCAAAAAAATCGGCACTGGGTATCCGTGGCCTGATTTTTGATCCATTTTTTGATCCATTTTTTGATCCACACAATGGATGGTTTTAAATCCTCTGGTAAATTAACATAGCGAACTGGGAAAATGGCCATTTATAGTGGATTTTCACATTGAAAATGGTGATTTTCCATAGTTATGTTAGTTTACCAGAGGGTAAATCCTCTGGTAGTTGAAGACAGCTATTGAACATGGACCGTAGCCTGATTTTTTTTTCAGGACCACGATCTTGATTAAATCCAACGAGTGTGACGTTTGAGTGTCAATCTCTTGAAGGAGTTTGTGGATGACTTTCCAGAAGGGCCAACACAGGAGGCGGCTTGGGCAGGGCTTGGGGTCTTCCAGCCCACTTCCAAGTCATTTTTGTCAAATCATTTTTGCGAAAACTGACAGCATCTTGTTCGGGTATCAAGTTGTGCTACAAGATTTGTTCGTCAAAAACGCGGATTCCAGATATCGAGATCTCGGCCAAATTCAAGCCACTTACTCGGCCAGAATGTGATTGGTGGGTCGTTTTTGGAAAAAATCCCAATCCAAACTTCATGAAATCCCATGGTTAATCCCATATCAAAGTGATGACGATTCCAAAACCGAATTTCAAACAAAATCCATGAAATGACCGGAGGGTGCGATCCCAAAAAAAACCCTCTGGTAAACTAACAGAAGTATGGAACATCATCATTTTTAATAGGTAAATCATGGTAAATCAACTATAGATGGGCCATTTTCCAGTTCGCGACGTATTTTCCCAGCAACGTTTGGTCCAGCTGCACAGGTTGGCGAAGATGACGTCGACCCCAACGAACCGGCCATTCCCCTGGGCCCTGGGTGAGATTCTCAGGGCCCCACTTTGCCTGGAGCAAACGAGCAATGGATAACTATACCATATGTAATATGAATGGCTTATAGTTTATATATATATATTATATAACAGATACTAGTTATAAATAGTTATAAGTTATATTGATATATATTAATATATATATATATATGTTTGTATGTATATTTATGAATTGTGTCATAGTATATACAGTATATATGTATATACACATATACACTAGATTAGCATGTTACAGCTTAGTATATAATAATTGGTATAGTTATACTATAATTACTATCATACATTGGTATATTTTAATATGCTCCATTGATGTAACTAATATAACTATGGTAGGTGTATGTTTATTTGGACGATTTATGTTGCGGCCGCATGTCGTGACGGAATTCTGGCATCATATTGGGAATTTACCCCTATTTTTGAGCTAGACTAGACTCCTAGACCATATTCATTCTTCATGGTTCAAAAACCATTTGAAATGTATTTTTATCAAGTGCCAAAACAACACTTCCCCTCTGGTAATCAAACACGGTTTGCTGGAAAAATCTCACCATCTATGGCCCCATGATTTTCCCATTGAACTAACATCTCCATTTAGTTTTCAGGTTGCATCCTCTGGGCGTGATCCGAGACTACGACGCTAAGAAAGGATTTGGCTTCATCCGGTGTCAAGGCTTAAGCGAGGAGTGGGGATTCTGGTTGGCTGGTTGAGGATGGCAATTCTTTGGGTAATTCATGGGTAGCAATCAAGTTGTTTCAAGGATGACGAGTTGCTACATTAAGAATGGAAGAAACAACAAACATGATTAACATGATGAACTGACTGCAGGCATGTGGATCAGGGTAGTTATGGTGATTTCACTGGCCGATCATCATGTCATAGGCATACTAAGGGGAACAAAAATCACAAAACATTTCAGGTTGGTGAATTATATACTGGTTTAGCCAGCCAATCAAGGTTGATCGCATCGGAAATAGGGGATTTAGCCGCCAAAAATAGAGATACAACGTATAAAACTGGATAAGCTGCGTGGTACTCGGTCGTTTCATGCATTTTCTATCCAGTGGTCAACAGGGAGCTAAGAAAGGGTATCTATATTCCCCAAGAAATTATGCGCAGAGTTTCCCAACCATATGATAGATTTTTCTTTGTTTTCCATTCCTTTAAACATGGGATGAGGGTCTTAATTGACGAGCATCTAAATGTTGGGTTGGCTTCAAACCACCAAGCTAGAAAACGAGTGGCCCACCCTTTCACCCCAGAGTCTGACAGTGTTGTGTTCGTCGTTCTGGCCGTCGGCAATGGAAGGAACAGAATTGGAAGAACTATCAACCTCCAATGGAACCATAAGAGAACTATCAACCTCCAATGGAACTATCAACTATACCAATTGAAGAATTGGAAAAACAGTAGATGGTCGTATTTCCAGAAGAATGATGGGCTGTTTAATGATTCGATGAAATGCGCTGCTTTAC